TAAATAATCAAATTAGTCCCGTTTTAAGTAGAAATTGACGATTATAAATGGAAGATCCTTCCCGGAAGATTGTTTTGGGAGGTTCGGAAGTCCTCTGGGGACGCGCACTGCCGCAAATAGGTAAAATGAGGTTCGGATGCTGTGCGGGGGAGGTTGCCTTCCCTCGCTCCTCAGGCAGGACCACGTTTATGATCCTTCTAAGCTACCTGTTCTGTGTTAATTAAAAGTCGTTGCACAAAAGTCGTCTTCGTAAATTATTTAGAATATTCTAACCTGAGAAGGATTGCTTGATCCACATCCCATCCTAATTCTTCTCAATCAAACATAATTTACATGTTCGTAGTGTTCGATCAGATCTGCAAAATGAATATATATTGCAAACTTATCTACAAAGGATAATCTTGTTTCCTTACATCCATGATTGGACCTGCAATTGTAAGCATATTTTATATTTTATATATGCTATGTGTCAGTAGCAAATTTATGGTGAAACCCCGATAGAAAATAATAAAGTGTTGAATAGAAAAACAAGAAAATCCTCATCATTTTTTGGATTTGAACAGTGATTTCCGTAAAGCCAGTAAATCCCTCAAAGCTTTGCTATTTCATCAATTAATATACAGGGTGTCCTAAGAAACATGACAGTATAATGACGAATTGAAAGTGGTCTTTGATCCTTGAAATAATTTTAGAAGTAAAATGTCAAGGTAATAACTACTAAATACCCCAAGTCCTGGCATTTCTAAAATGTGGTCTACCTTTCTTGTGCTTTCAATATTACCGGAGATATGAAGAATTTTGTTCAGATTTCGACAATTCTGTTTTAAAAAGAAATTAAATCTAAACGAATTTCTAAATATCTCCGGTAATATTTAAACTTAACTTGCAATACACAAAGAGGTGAATGCAGGCTTGAAATAAATTCACTGAGTAGAGAGTGGCTTTAAATTCATATACTGATTTCTGAGTTCTGAGTGACGGATTATAAATGCACTGAACTCTGAGTGGTTTTAAATAAAAAAACTGAGTGATGAGTGACTTTAAAGAAGTTCACTGAGTGACGAGTGACTTTAAATAAAAATACTGAATGGTGAGTGCCCTTAAAGAAATACACTGAGTGGTGAGTGACATTAAAGAAATACACTGAGCGCTAAGTGGTACACTGAAATACACTGAATTATAAATGAAGTTAAGTACTAACACTGTTTGGTGAATGACTTTAAATTAATACACCAAGTGAAGTGGCTTTAGCTTGATACACTGGAGCGGCGAGTGACTCTAAATACATCTACTGAGTGACGAGTGACATTAGAGTGTGGAATGACTTTTTAGAAGTGCACTGAGTGATAATAATGATTGTATGCAACACTGAGTGTGTTGAGTGACTGCATCAGAGTTGAATAAATTGTTCTAAAATATGAATGTTTAATATGTTTAATGTATATAATGTATCCAGGGGGAGAAAGCATGGTCAAAGGTAATGTTAAATCGTCTATACGCAACATCCCCCCTACTGAACTTCTAACCTTCTAACTTTCCGACATACTGCAATATTGGACCTGTTATTTTTGTATTATTAGAGGTTTAAAAGCACGTACTAGTAGGTAGGATGTGTACGTAGTATAGCGGATTTGGGGAAGGTCAGAAGTGGAGTATAGCGGATTTGCGTTGGTCGAAAAATACACCATCTGGTCAAAATATAAATTTACATTTTTAATTATCATTTTCCAAAACCTTGTTTTATTAAAAACTATTTTTAAAGAAAATTATGAAAAATCTTTTATTCAAAAACTTTAAATTATTTGGCTTGGATTACTGGTATCAACTATCAACACAATTTATGTTAACCCTATTCCTGCTGGGGGGGGGGTCAATTTGACCCCCCCTGTAGTTTTTTTTACATAACTCAAAAAGTATTGGTCTGAGGCTGTTAAAATGTTCTGACTTTTTCTACATACCCAATGCCCTCCCTTTAGGCCTAAAACCGGGCTTTAATACTAACTGCCTGAGTCCTCAGGCACACTGCCTGAATAACTGCTTTTTCTTGTAACAAACTAAATCTTTGTTTTGACCCACTTCCACTTGTCAGATTATTTAAAATTTTGCAGAAATTTTTACTATATAACTGGATTTTGCGATAAAAATACAATTTTTGCAAATTTGCAAATTTTTTTGCAGATTCTAAAACTAGAGCACAAGAGCTTTCCAATGATGTATCGTTTGTCATATTTGGACATCAAACATGGGATTTAGAGGGGGAGGGGGTCAAATTGACCCCCCCCAAGCATATCCTGGTTTTCAAGTACCCCATCAGAGATAGGGTTAAGAGAGCCGAGGTCGGTGAAGCTACATAATTTGGCTAAAACATGGAATATATAAAAATAATACATCTATCTATATTGACTCTATATCATGATCATGAGGGGGGGGGGTACGAGAGGAGGGGGCGAAATATGTTAAGGAGGTGTGCCGAACCTTATTTCTATCATGATCATGTTTGTGGAACATGTTTAATAAGAAGTCGCCAAATAAGTAAGAAATAACAAAATCTTTCTTCGGCGCCTCGCGCATCAGTTTTAATTCAATTTCTTACTATTTTTTATGTTTTCAACAAAAATTTATCATTATAATTATGGGCATGAAATACATACATTTAAAGTTACAGGAAACTGATGCCCTTAGAAACTGCAGATTAATATTGAAAAATATCAAGAAATAGGATTAAATCGGACAGCAGTCTAAGAGGAGTAAAGGAAAGTACTTCCGGAAAGTACTTCTGGATCAGGAATACATAGACCTACACATATAGTGGGTAAAAGGACTCTATAGTGGATGAATTATAAATAACTGCTGTAACTGTTAAAGGGGACCCTATACACAGGGACTTTAACTCACACTTAGAAATAAATAAAAAGATAAATCGTAAAAAAGGTGAAAATAAATATGGCTATTTATTTATTTTCGCAAATACTGAAATTTACGTAATATGGTATAAAACTCATTGAAAAATTATCAAGACGACATTTGATAAATTCTTCCAATGTATTCGTTATTAGGGGTTTCACTGTACTAGAAAATAAAATAAAATACTAAAAAATAAATAAAATACTAGAAAATAAAATAAAATACTAGAAAATAAACTAAAATACTAGAAAATTAAATAAAACACTAGAAATTAGACTTTTTTTCAACATTGAAATTTAAAGTTCAATCGTTTTAAGAATATACCATATACAACAAAGGGACTGTAAGTGTAATTTTCCTTTAAAACATTTATCACTCGAATATAATGTGAAATAAATAGTCGTTGCTTTCACCCTGAATAATGTTTATTCTGCAGACCATTTTCTCTTGTTGACTTTAAAGAGAAACCACAGTTGAAAGTGATCGATTTATGCTGAGAAGATAATGGATATCTTATGTGTATTCTTGAGATCAGACAAAGTTTTGAAGAGTGCCGATATAATTCGTACATGTAACTCTATACAAATGGGGGGTCACTTGAAATTACTTTTAAACTACGACCAAAACCCCTCTCTCTTTAAAACTCAGAGTGTTCTAATAAGTATGGGGATTAAGAGAAGACTTGAAAGTCGTCTTCGATTTCCGATAATTGATAATGACAATAATACTACAAATGTGTGGAACTTGAGACGATTTAGAAGTAGTCCCTTATTTCCCACAAGGCATTCTGGGCGCTTCGCGCCAATCTTCTATTTCAATTGTGAACATTTTCTTTTTTTATACATTGTAAAACAAAAACGAAAAAAATCGTGGATTTTTAAAATTTAATGGAAATGGAATTTCGTTGGAGGCCAATTTTTGATCATCCATCAACCTTTCCTGGGGTCATGTGAGGTCCCACAAAAAAATTGGGTCCGATCGGTTCAGTTGTTTTGACGTTTATTGGATACAAACAAATAGACAGACACCCATACAAGCAAAGTATATATACTGCACCTTGTAAAAATCATAAGTAGTTTAAAATACAAATTTGCAATATTTACTAAAGTTGTGCCATCCTAGGTTTCTGCTCTATCCTCTCCTTCGTCCTTCATGTTCTCCTCTGCCATCCTAGGTTTCTGCTCTATCCTCTCCTTCGTCCTTCATGTTCTCCTCTGCCATCCTAGGTTTCTGCTCTATCCTCTCCTTCATGTTCTCCTCTGCCAGAAAGAAAAACAAAGTTGTGTCAATATTTTAAACAGTTTCCAAGAGCCAAAGATTTTTTGTTTTTATAGTTTCTCCAAATCATTTATATTTATTTTCTGTAAGTTCTCGCCTAACAAATATTAAATGAATAATAAGAAATAAATAGAATTAAAGTAATTTGTCAATTTTAATATTATAAATGGTTTCAATATTCTCTTTTAAAGCTCAAACTTGAGTACAAATTTCAAATACTTTAGGTTCTTTTTTAATATAACATAAATATATGTGTAAAAAGCAACAGGGATGTCTCACGAAACATAAAAAAGCAAGATGACTTGAAAGCCGTCTATGAATTTATTTGTGACATTTAGTCCGTCAACCTCCTAGTTCTGGCATTTCAAAAATGTGGGGTGTGACCTTTTTATTTTACTGGAGATGTTATAAGAATTGTTTTCAGATTTCAATTTTGTTAAATAAAACCCAAATTGTCGAAATCTGAACAAATTATTTATATCTCGGCCCTCGAGCATCAATTATGCACAAAAAGGCAGACCACATTTTGGAAATGCCATGGGACGAGAGATATTTTGTGATGATATCTCTAGAATGTTACTTCTAAAATTATGTTGACAAATAAATGCAGTAAATGATGCTAAAAATCAAAGACGACGTTTAAGTTGTTTTGTTCCTGGCTTCTTTCGTGGGACGGTATAAATCAAGCAATTTTAAAATCTTCCTAAATTGAAGACGACTTTAATCTCATCGTTGTACATTTCATATTCTGATACACCAATTAATTTACAAGTTGTATTACATACATGCTGTACCTGCCTGCCTGCCTATTTTATAAGCATAGTTATTATATTTATTTATATAAGAATACAGTGAAAATAGAAAAGACGCCAGGGGTGGATGCACATTTTTTTTAGCACAATAATGAACGGCGAAAACAAAGACATGATGTGATGGCGAAAGTACAGCTTAACCCAGAACATATTTTATCTAAAAAAAAATACAAAATTCTAATATTTCAATATAATCAAGTGTGGTGCTCAGTGTGGTGCTCTTTAACAAACAGTTTCCCACCAAAATATATTTGTCACGCTGAGGTCCCCTGCATACGTAGCAGCGTAATACAAATTTTAAAAAATGATTAAAATGATTTGACTTTAAAGGGAAATATTAATTTAGTGAGTCACATTGGTATTCTATAAACATAGGTTTATAGAACCTATGTCGGAACAAAAATGATGGATATATCCTTGTTTTCGATCCCCATCTGTAAATTGACAAATCAATGGTGGTTGGGGATACACAAAAGGATTTATGCAGCAGGGGAATGGAAAGCATGTGTATCTTTTTTTAAGCTAAAAACGGCAATGTATTTTCACAAGAAAAAAGTTTAAAATGTACAGTTGGGAATCTGGTATTTTAAATTGAGGTTTCCATAAAATCCCATTAACAGTCCCTTCATATTTTTTACGCGTCTTTATTCCTTCAGCAGAAGCTGTGGTTAAGTTTCTGTTCTATTCCCATTGATTAAACTTATGAAGAGAGTTGTTCATGAAATATTCCACATAATCACTTTTATCCTTCTCAGAAGAATTTTCTTTTCTCAATCGTAAACTCCCTGCTCTGGATGTTGTTTGATCAGCAAAGGGTTTTGAACCTAATCCAGTGCAAGAATCTTGTCTTTCAAGCTGATCTTCAGTTTGTATTGGATACTTTAATATTTGGCTGTAATACGTATCAGGATCTTTTCTTGGTTCAGTTGGTTTTAAGATCTCCTTGTTCTGATCATAGGGTTGGAAAGTACAGAGAGTTTTAGGTTCAGATTCAGATCTTCCAGACAAGTCTGTATTGTTAGATGGTTCGAATGATTTATCTGGACTGGTATCTTTGTGAAGGGTAGAATATTTCTGAATTATAGCTTCCTTGGCTAATCCAGGAGTTTCCTCCTGACCATCAGATTCATCCGGGGAGCTAGTTGATGGTTCCCTGGGCACACTTTCCTCAGATTCATCACCGCTCTCATTATCTTCTTCAATGCTTTCATCTATTGTAACACTTTCCTCTATTGTAGAGTTGACGAACACGTTTCTAAATGATTCATTTGCAGTGGCATCACTGGTAGCAAACATATTATTAATTGTGATTTCTGCTTGATCATTTTCAACCACGACAGGATCTTCAATAGGAACTGTCACTGTCTCCTCATCATCTACACTGGAGAAATCAATTGTGTGGTAAACATCTTCTTCTGTTACTTGTTCTCCTTGCTTCCTGGGATCCTCTTGTAAAATGCTTCTTAATGGAATCTCTTCTTTTTTCTCATAACGCTAAATAATAAATGAAAATTAGTTCAGAGGCCGAATTTCAAGAATATGAGCCGCGGCTCAAATATGAGACGCTGTTCAAACATGGTTGGTTCCGCTTGGAATTGTATTCAGTGTTTAAACATTTGAACTGGCGCACAATTTGAACCGGTTTTTGGCGGATTAGCTACGCGGTTTAAATTCTTAAAATTCGGCCTTAGGAACGATCATTTGATCAGTTCTCTGTTATTATTCCGCGTTTCTTTAATTCTAACTCCGGCATTTTTAGCTGCGTTGTAAATTGGTTTCCTTAAATATCTTTTACTTTAAAATAATACATTTTTTTGGTTGCTCCAGTAAAAACGTAGATTTGTTATGGAATGAATTCAGGATTCATTTCAGACCTTGTAATACTTTGTCCCTAATGTGCATAGTGCATAATTACTCTGTTCAAAAAAGTTTTGTTTTCAAAATTATTTTCCATTGTCAAAAGTGTGTCAAAAGGAGGAAAGGTTCATGGTTTGTTCTTTCAAGAAAACACCCCTTGCCTCACACATAATTTTATAAACAAAAGAACTGTATATTACCCTTACAATGCTCTTGATAAAATGCATTAACCTTTTCAGTTTGATGATGAGTTGGCTCAATGTTTACATAGAAGGACTCTCTCTTCGTTTTCCTGGGGGGTAGAGTCATGCAGTCCCTGTTCAGGGAGGGTAGGTTGGGATACAGAGATCTCCGGGTTCCAAGCTCCAGGGGCAGAGTTGGATATAGAGATCTAGAGGGAAGGGTTGGATAGAGTGGTTTATTTCTCCGAGGGTTGGTGTGATACAGTTCCTCTTGTTCTACTGAGAGGATAGGATACAGGTTTTTATTCTGAATAGGGACATTATCAACCCATTCAGAATGCCATTTTTATTTGTAGAGAGACATTGGAACTTTGTTTCAAACATTACATGAAAATGTTTAACCGAAATCAAAAACTACTTTTCAAATATGTTTTTGTCATAGATATTAAAAATTGTAAACAATTTGAATAAACACTGTTAACTGAATTTACAATAACAGATTTTTAAGAAGTGTTATAGGTCTGAAACTTTACAGTAAGTATGGTTCTACTCTGATTTGTAATATAAAAAAGTAAACATGTTTTTAAACCAATGACATATGAACTAGTTGATAATATTCCTGAATATGAAAATGGTTGATATTTGAGAATCCTAGGGTTGTTCTGTTGCCTGGTTGATGATTAAACTGCTGGTTGATGTTGGTTATACCAACCACAGTCTGGTTTTGGGTTATTGTCAGGCGGAGCACCTCTACAATATATATAAACAACTCTCTAGATGTTTACCTGTCTACCCGTCTACCTGTCTACATGTCTGCCTGTCTACCTGTCTACTTCACTTCTTGTCAATTTGTCTACTTGTCTACCTGTCCAACTGTCTACTTGTCTTTCTGTTTATCTGCCTATTTGTCTATCTGTCTACATGTCCACCTGCCTACTTATCCATCCGTCTACCCGTCTTTCTTTTTTTCGGCCTATCTGTCTACCTGACTACCTGTCTACCTGTCTACATTTCTATCTGTCTACCTTTTTACATGTCTAAATGTATTTCTGTTTCTCTGTCTTTCTAATTTTCTGTCTACCTGTCAACCTGTCTACCTGTCTACCTGTCTACCTGTCTACCTGTCTACCTGTCTCCATGTCTCCAAGTCTACTTGTATACCTGTTTATCTGTCTACCTGTCTACCTTTACCTTTCTACCTATCTACCTTTCTACCTTCTACCTGTCTACCTGTCTACCTGTCTACCTGTCTACCTGTCTACCTGTCTACCTGTCTACCTGTCTACCTGCCTACCTGTCTACTTGTATACCTGTTTATCTGTCTATCTGTCTACCTGTCTACCTTTACCTTTCTACCTATCTACCTTTCTACCTTTCTACCTTTCTTCCTGTCTACCATTCTACCTGTCCATTTGTATATCTTGTCTATATCCTAGCTTTCTTTCTGTCTATATTCCAACCTGTCTGGGAAGTCTGTGTCGCTGTCGAATTATTTCGTCTGTTATTGAATTTTCTCCAAGCCGTTTCAAAATCTTCAAGTACCGGAATCTGCAAATTTAAAATATATTCCAAAAGTTGTGCGTTGGTTGTTAAAGGTATCAAAATGTATTTTAAATAGTATTGTAAAACATGTTTATGAACATGTTCATAAACATGTTCATAAACATGTTCATAAACATGTTCATGAACATGTTCATAAACATGTTCATAAACATGTTCATAAAAGTTCCTTTTCTCAACCTCTTTATTCAATCATTTAACATAAACCTATACTTGAAATTAGTTTTGAAAACTTCGTTATTTCAATGTGGATAGAAAATTCTATGCATAAGAAAACTAAGCTGAAAAAGAAAAAATAAAAAAAATAGAAGGCAAAAATTAAATGAAAAAAATAAACAAGAAATTTTATGAAAACATAAAATCTAAAAAAAGAGAACATGCGATTTTAGAAAACAAAAATGGAACTGTGAAAATAAATGAAAAAAAAAAGAAAATTTCAAGAAAAAAAAATAAAAAGGAAAAAATTAAAAAAAAAAAAGAAAAGCAAATTTAAGAAAAAAAAAATGATAATGTGAAAATAAAATGAATAAGAAAATATTTCATAAAAATTCAATAAAAAAGAGGACATGCAATTTTATGAAAATAAAAATGAGAATGTGAAAATCAAATGAATAAGAAAATATTTCATAAAAATTCAATAAACCACCTGAAAATCCTTCGCAAGAAATATTTTCTCTATCCTGTGAATGATGCAACTGAAAAATTTTTAAAAATGTTTTTTTTTTAATTCAACTTTTCTCGATATCGAGATCAAAGCTTAATCTCGAACTTTTGTTAATCTGCAGATTAATTTAATATTCGATGTCCCGCATGGTAAGATGACTTTATACCCAGTCAGTGTTTAAAGTGGACATAGATCAGGGAAGAACTGGAGCTTTGGTCAGGGGAGGAATAACTGAAATGAAAAAATTAAGCATTGATTCTCCGATAAAAAATGCCTACAGTGGATATCGAGATAAAGCTATCTGTATCCAACACAAAAGTGTACAGTGAAACCCTTAATAACAAATACATCGGGAGAATTTATCAAATGTCACCCCCCCCCCTCTGGACAAATTTTTTTATACACCCCTGAGCAGTCCTCCTCAGAGAGATTTTTCCTTAAAAATATTATTCAATCACAGAACTGTGGGCCACCAAATCTATTCATGGTCATCATGCCTCAAAAAATCGGATGCACAGGGGTAACCAATAAGAATACGAAGTTAATGACGACAGAAAAACTTCTAAATCGACGTGAACGTTGAAAATAGACTTTAGAGTTTAAGGGACTGTCCTTGTAATTTCAAGTGGGGTTCCATTTCAAAAGGAACATGTCCGATTAACGATGGTACCCTTTATTTCTTTGTCTAACCATGTCTAGAAGATATCGTCGTTTTCTAGTATTTAATTTTAATATTTTAAAAATACGCAAGTAACTTTTGGAAGAAACCACAATTGAAAATCAATTTACGCAAATTTCATTGATATTTCAGACACAGCTTTTAAGGGTACCGTTGTGATTTAAACATGCCACAACCCCCCTCTTTTAAATGATTTGCCTCATTATATCTTAACTTTTTGTAAATATACAAAACAATCTTTTTTTAATAAATCTAAATTTAAAAAAATAAAAAATCCTGTTTATTGAGAGGTTTAAAAAATTTGGGTTATTTACAGAGTTCACGAGTTTTGAAATATTCGGAGATATTTGGACCAAGCTTGAACTTTATTAAACAAATCAAACGAAATCGGCAAATTACAGTTTTGGAATTTCGGATTTTTTTTGGAAATTTTAAAGACAACTTAGAAATGGTAACTTTATAAATATGTTTCAGTGCCACCCTATTGCCAAAGTGCAATCTCTAATTATGCAATAGCATATTTGCATTTTGCCTTGATAGGAATGTTTTGATTTAATAGTATTATACAACGTTAAACACGCATTTTATTCTTTAGCATTAAATAAATAAAACTAGCTGAAGAGCCCAGCGTTGCCCGTGAAATGAAAACAAAAATTGAATTTTTTTTTGAAAAATTGTTATATAACGATTGAAGCTAGTTGCTGGTTGTCACATCCTAGGACATAAGTGACAATTTCCCTTTTCCCTATAACTATTACATGTTAAATATTTGAATTGACCCTTGAGTTACTATGAAATTTACCTAAAGAAGAAGAGAATGACCGCTATGAGTAAAGTAGCTGCCAGGACTATTTCAGTTACATCTGCTTCATTGCCACCATTTTCTAAAGATAAACCCCTTTCATAAACCAACTCATTCCCGCATTTTCTAAACATAAACCCCTTTCATAAACCAACTCATTCCCGCATTTTCTAAGTAAAAACAGAGCGGAAAACTTTAGAATTAATAATATTGAGATCAATGAGGAAGGGGTGGCTCCTCTAAGGGTTTTGGAATTGCTCCCAGGGTTTTGGAGTTCTCCCAGGATTTTGGAATTGCTCCCAGGGTTTTGGAGTGCTCCCAGGATTTTGGAATTGCTCCCAGGGTTTTGGAGTGCTCTCAGGATTTTGGAGCAAAATGTGAAAGGAACTAGTTTTTGTCACAAACTCTAATTTTCTTACCGTTATATCTCTGGAACCCGATGTCGTAGACCTTTGATATTTCAAACTATGAATTCTGTTAAGTCACCAAGTCTAAGTTTGAAATATCAGAGGTTGTAAAGGAGAACTCTGCTACCCCTTTTTTACCGTATTTGTTCAAATTTTTGCAAGGAAAAAAATCGCAAATTTCGGTCCAAGTAGCCAAGGTTATGTTTGAGTTGGCCTCATACAACTCAACTAATTCAAGGTTTTTTTGATGGTTAGGTTCTACTTTCGTAGTTGGCCCTAGAAGACTTCTTCATCATTTTCAGAAAAAAAATGATCCCTTAAAAAATGTTTAATTGATTGTTTTATTTTATCACTGTAGTGAAAACGCAATTTTTAAAGGCAACAATTCATTAAAGATTTTTTAGGCAAACTTTGGATTTTTTTCTGAAAAAAGATAAAGATATTGATATGCATTGGACCAACTTAAATTTTATGTATCTAGTTAAAAATAGATTTTCAATTTAAATGAATTACCTGTAGAACATCTGATGATCCTAGAGAATTGATCACAAATACACGTCACATGATCATCAAAAGGATAACAATGATGTGACATTCTTTCCGCCCTTTGTACATTTGACATTTAGGTCTAAAAAATATAAGAGTACATTTTTTATACATCCTAGAATCAAAATCAAATGTTAACAAAATTTAAAATACATGCAGTAAAAACCAAAAAAAGGAGTGACTATCGTCTTCATTATATCATTAGGTGCAAAATATATTACCAACCAAGATACCAACCAAATATGTCCAGGGCCCAGGGGATAGATTTAAAGAAATTATTGTTGATAAATAGAGCTAGAGAAGACGACAATTATAACGCTGTTGACTGTTAATCACTGAATGATAATAAGTATAAAGAAATTAAATGTTTAAAAACATTGATTTTTTTTAATACCACCGTATAGTGGAGAAACCCTGTGTCTCTTTGCTAAAGCACTGCATTTATTGCATAAAACTTGCTGGATCGACTGTACATTGGGTAGCCAGACTGGACAGTCCTACCGAATGTATATAGAGTACGTTTTACACCGGCACTGACCAAGCAACTTTTATAGTGTTGTGACAGGGTTACCCACAAAGGATAAGACTTGTGCAAAGACGACTTGTAAATCTTAAATTTGACGATCCCAAGGTTCGATTGAGTACTCTGACTTAAAAATATAGTTATTGGATTGTTTATTTAATGATTTGTAGAAATAAATAAACTTGTTTACAGTCCACACTCCTCTGCCACTTTGGTATTTGAAAATTGGCGGTACAGTTTAATGTAGGATTGCAAAGGTTGACCCAGCTCGTATATTCAAATGTACAGTTGTGGGGCGTGAGTGGCGGGAATCATGAACATTAGAAATCAAACATTATTAAGTCTTTCAAAAGGCTCATCTTTGTGGGTAAACCTGTACTTGAAGTAAAACATAAGTTTTACTGGACATTGAAGCAGAGTGGAAATAAAATTCCAGTGCTGAGATGTTTCAATTACAATTGTGTTAAACACTGAACATGTAGGATAATTAGATTCGAATAAAAGATAATGAGTTTTTAATTGTGGAGGTTATTTACTTGGGTTCTAGTTATCCTGTACACTGGGTACATTTTACAGCCTCAGAACCAGCATCCTCCATCCTCTCTATATCCTCCAGATAGATAGATAGATATATAGATAGATAGAGAACTAATAAATATTATATATTATATATATACAAATATTTGTAATTTTGTAATTTTTAACTGAAAAACAAAAAAGGGGCCAAGAACATATTTGATATATATTACCTATAATGCTTTCAAGGCGCTTCACGCTTCTTATTTTTAGGGACAATTAGCTTTGAAATTTTGTTTTCATGCCGCCATTTTGAAAATAAAACGTTCGCAGATTTTTTAGGATTTTGGAGGATTTAAAATCCTCACTTTCCCTGGGGTCAAGTGAGATACCACAAAAAATTTGGATCCGATCGGCTGAGCCGTTCTGACGTTTATCGAACAAACAAACAAACGAACGCCCAATCAAAAAATATAAATATAAATTTCAAATTACAAAATATTGATGAAGTTTGTAAGTTGGTAAAAGTCAAATAAGCAATATATTATGTAAGAACATAATCATTCTTTGTGTTACTGAGATCTACTCACAAGACCTTGAAATGTTGAATTCTTGATTCTTTTTTTTTGTTACGTTATTCTGACTTAGTAAAACAGAGTGTCAACAAAATCTGTATGTAAAAAAAATTCTATGCTTATATTTTTAATGCTAGCCGTTAAATTTGAATATTATAGAGTTATTTAAATTCTAATAGTTTTTTCCTTTCAAAGAATAAGAATCTAAAGACGACCCATCAATATTCAAATATAATGACCTCAAGGTTAAATAAAGATAAACATAAAGGTGGGTATCGTTTTATCTATATACTTGTATCTATATATCGTTTTCGTCAGATTTTTCCTAAAAAATGGCGTTGTTAAAAAAAAACTAATGATGGACGAACAAATTTAATCGTTCAGAGAAATGAAAAACAATCTTTTTCAAAAACAAATGAAAATAAACACGAACGATTGAAATCGTTTGAACGAACTTTAAAAAACGATCGTTTTTTACTGAACGATCGAATTTTTGAACAAATTTTTGAAAAAACGATGGTTTTTTACAGTACAAACTATTTTTTTTGAACAAACGATTTTACTGGACAATCGGTCATTGAGAAAACGAATGAAATAGATGGAAAATGAACGATATTTATGAGTATGAACGAAATAAATTTTTGAACGTTTTTAAAAACTAACGATATTGTGATAAAGGATAAAAATTGCTTTCTCAGAAAAATAAAGTTGATAAATTAAACTTAAGAATAACGTTATTTTTAACAAATCTTCCTTTTTCCAGGACACCATTAAAATTATGTTTTCGTAATGCAATATTATGCCATCAGATTCTTGCGTATTTTCAATTATTTTCCTAAATTAAAACTTTATTTCTCGTTCAGTTCTATGTACAGATTCAAAGTACAAGCTTCTAAATCATTCTTGAACTTGAAATTCAGGGGAAGTTTGCTTAATACCATGATAATGTTCCAAAAGTGACAAACCTTTTTTGTTGTTGTATTAAAACCATTAGAAAAATCATATTATTCGCTTAAGAATGGAAAATATATTATAGAAAACAATCTCAGCAAAAGGACGACGCCATTTTAAGACCGTGAACATTAACTTAATATAGAGACAGTCAAGTCTTTTTTCTTTCCGCAAGTTAAAGAGACTGAGGGAAACCACAATTAAAACAATCCGTTTTCAGACCGAAAAATAACAATAACTCATAGAGGTTTAGACTTTAAATTTTTGAATCGGAAAATGGATATTTTTAATTATGTCTTATAACTCTCTAGTCTGTATATTACTGCCCTTGTTGAAACACAAGACGTTTCAAAAATGGGCCGGTCGTAATTATAGGTGACCCAGCTCCATATTAAAGAATTGCATGCTTAATTACAACAGTACTCTTTAAACCATTTGCTTAGTAACAATGAGGAAGATATCGTCATTTCTCCATACATGTGCTGCATAAATCCAGAAAAACCGGAATTAAAAATTACAATTTAAAAAATCAACGATCATTATTTTATCTTGAATCTAGCCTGTTACCTTTACAATGGAGGGCAACTTGAGTTTAGGTTGTCAGTTTATTAAACATGGATGCTTATATAAATAGGTGATGATTGAATATTTGTCTCACTCCAGTGCACCCGTAATAATATAACAATATAGTTAGAAAATAGCAAGCATCTTATTTTAATCGCCATTTTCTTCAGATTTCAAATCCAAGTAAAATATAAAAAATAAAAATTGTTGAGACTATCTCAAGTGTTTACTAAGTGACAAAATCTCGAGAGTATTGGCAATATTTGATGAAATGAAAGTAAAATCTGATACGATCAGATGATACTTGGACAAGTTTTTGTGAAAATTAACGGATGGTTTTGTTGACAAACAATAAAACCCGTTCATTTATGAAAAAAGAAATTAAAATAAAAAAGTGCGAATGAATATTTGAAAAGTTTCTTTTTTTGATATTGAATGTTTAAAAAAGTATGAACACATTCCCAGCTCAGGTTTAACACAATTTATTTAAATTAACTAGTCCCCTCTATTTTTATACATTTTGTTTTTAAAGTGCTATTTTTGTACTTTTATCAGATAATGGAGATTGCAATTATTGGAGCTGGAGCTGGAGGTCTCTGTGCTGCCCGGCATGCATCAGCTTCTTACAGGTCAACCCGGAAGTGATTTTGAAATACTTTATACTTTATTCTATAAAATGAATGAAATGCACAGTAATACACATCTGTTTTTTTTCAAAATATTTCTCCAGTCCCATTATATAGTAAATTAAAAATTACTAATTCTAGCTGAAGTTTCACTGTTTTGTCTATTCCAAAAAAGTCAGAAGCACCGTATACTGACTTTTTACTTTTATAGACTAAATAAAGTTGCTGATAAGTCCCCATCAGAACCATCCTTTTAAAATTGTCTTGCTGAAAAAGTTCAAGTTTTTATCTTCTGTATTCTTTTTAGATGCAAACCAACAGTATTTGAGAAGTCTGATAGAATTGGAGGTGTGTGGGTGTATAATCCAAAAACGGGGAAAGATGAAAAGTAAATAATATTGAAAATAATTCTACTGAGCGTCTGTCTCAAATTCAAAGTTCCTAATCTAATCTTAATGTTAAAACTTTTGATTCCCGAAATTAGTTGTAGGTACAGGGTGTTCCACGAAACATGACAGTTGGTAAATAGTTTTGAATGTCGTCTTCCACACATTAGATGGTAAAGGCTTTATGTTGTTTCTTTCTTTTAAAAATCTTTTGCTCAAATATAATTTACTTTGAATTTAATTTTACGATAACATGACTCCTTTATAATATTTTTATTATTGTCTTGGGTATTAAACAATTAAACAAATTATGGAAGAAGACATTCTAAACTATTTACCAACTGTCATGTTTTGTGGGACACCCTGTATCCCTTATAAGTGATGTTTGTGGGACACCCTGTATCCCTTATAAGCTTCATGTTTGTCAAAGTTAATATAAAGCTCAAGATTGAAGACTTTCACCTTTTCACAAAAACTTCTGATCTCTGAAGTCGTTTAAAATATGAATTCTGCTATACATAAAATATCATCAATTCCTTGAAAAGGTCAAATCGTGATTTTTGACAAGGTTTTGAAATACTGTGATGTTATTTCAAGTGGAATGCCTGATCCTCGACAGTACCCTTAACATCTTGTTTTATCAAGAATACAGGAGATTTACATATATTTCTTTTCAAAACTTGTTTCTCCATAAAAGTTGCGTGCAGTTAATGCTACTGCAGGTACACACACAATGTAGGAAACTGCTAGAATTCAACACATTTTGGGAAAGAAAAACGATGATGACTTCCTCGTTATTTCTCAACTATAGCCATTCTGAAATCAATAATATCTAATATCTAATATCTAATATAATTTTTTGGTAGGGGTGAAAGGATAGTATCAAGCATGTATAGAGACCTGAAAACTAATCTTCCAAAGGAGATTATGTGTTATCCAGATGTTCCAATGAAGAGCTCAATTAAAGATTCATTTATTCATCATTCTCAGGTCATTGAGTCATTTATTCATCACTCTCAGGTCATTTTATCATTTATTCATCATTCTCAGGTCATTGAGTCATTTAATCATCATTCTCAGGTCATTGAGTCATTTAATCATCATTCTCAGGTCATTGAGTCATTTAATCATCATTCTCAGGCCATTTTATCATTTATTCATCACTCTCAGGTCATTTAATCATTTAATCATCACTCTCAGGTCATTTTATAATTTATTCATCACTCTCAGGTCATTTTATCATTTATTCATCACTCTCAGGTCATTTTCTCATTTATTCATCACTCTCAGGTCATTTAATCATTTAATCATCACTCTCAGGTCATTGAGTCATTTATTCATCACTCTCAGGTCATTGAGTCATTTATTCATTACTCTCAGGTCATTGAGTCATTTATTCATCACTCTCGGGTCATTTTATCATTTATTCATCACTCTCAGGTCATTGAGTCATTTATTCATCACTCTCAGGTCATTTAATCATTTAATCATCACTCTCAGGTCATTGAGTCTCATCACTCTCAGGTCATTGAGTCATTTATTCATCACTCTTAGGTCATTTAATCATTTAATCATCACTCTCAGGTCATTGAGTCTTTTAATCACCACTCTCAGGAAATTGAGTCATTTATTCATCATTCTCAGGTCATTGAGTCATTTATACATCAATCTCAGGTCATTGAGTCTTTTAATCACCACTCTCAGGCCATTGAGTCATAAATTCATCACTCTCAGGTCATTGAGTCATTTAATCATCACTCTCCTTTCATTTAGTCATTTATACATCATCTTAGGTCATCGAGTCATTTATACATCACTCACAGGTTAATGAGCCATTTATACATCATTCTTAGGCCATTAAGTAATTTATTCACAACAATTAGGTCATTGAATCATTTTTTAATCACTCTCAGGTCATTTAGTCATTTAAACATAACTATCAGGTCATAAAGTTACTTTGGTCTCAGTCACTCAGTTTAACGAGCCATTTTCTCATAACGCCAAGATCCTAAAGTTATTAGTTCTCTCATGCTTATTCAATACTCAGGCCCAATAATCATTGTATCCCAGCTACGCAAATCTGTAGACAAGCTTCAATATTGGTTAAACTATTTGTCTGTTTAGGTTTTAGAATATCTAGAGGAGTTTGCAGAACAGTTTGATTTAAAGAAATATATCAAATTCAACACCAAGGAATCAACTAAAACTCTTACTTAGAAAGGGATATTTAACGCAAATACAAGCTACACTAAAGGGACTGTAAGCGGAATTACAAGTGACCCTCCATGCAAAAATGACAATGCCCTATTTACAACAGAACCTTTGAAACTTTTATCTCATAAATAGTTTGGAACGATTTTTTGGTTTTTCTAGGTTCAAAAGTATTCAATTCAGATAATTCCGCCATGATTTCCTACAGCAGAAATGTGCAAGTCACTTTTGAAATTGTAAACATTGAAATCTCAATTATACTTGATCAGACAAAGCTTTAAAGGGTACCATTGTAAATCGGGCATTGCCTTCTTTGCACGGAGGCCTGGGTCACTTCAAATGTCGCTTTCAGTTTTATTAATTCCATTTATTGAGTTGGAAGTAACACCTTTTTGACCTTTTAGACCTTTTAGACCTTTAATCAAAAATCATTGAGTCTTTTTTCTTTTCTTTTCTCTATTTTTTTTGTATTCTATAATACTCTGTTTGAGCCAAAATTTTGAGTTATCCTTGATTTTTCATCTGAAAATCAATATTTTTTCATTGCAGTTTAAAACGAAAAAAATTTCGATTTAAAGTAAAAATTTTTTTTTTTTAGCCCATATTACCCCCGGAATACTCAACGGTTTCCTCGAAAATTTCAGCTAATTTGGCTCAGCTGTTTGGCCAGCTATAGCTGACATATATATCTTTGAGCGAAAAGCTTTATTTTAAATGGTAAGAGTAAATTTTGACAAGGTTGTGAACATACAGCCAACTGATCCCAAGGAAACTGAAGAAAACAATAATGAAACATGGAACGGAGTCGAGAATGGTGATCATGTGATTGCAAAAGAGAATTCAGGTGTGGGAACTTTTGTATTCTGAAGATCTCGATCTAAATGCTTGATATCGATCTTTAGTTAATCTGTAGATTTAGTCTTTATTCGATATATATGGGTTAAAGGAAGCTTTGATCAGGGGAGAAATTACTTATGGATCCTCAAATTAAAAGTGCCCAGAGTGTATATCGAGATCAAGTGAACGGGATTATGAGTATTCTACACAAAAGTTCCCAATATAGGTTCTATTTGTCAAGTTGAAAAGAAGAAATGGAAAATTAAATATTTTAACTCGGAGAGCAATAAAACACAGTTTGTAAGTACATATTAAAAAATTATCTATTTAATTTTTTTTGTTTTGCTTAAATTTAAACTTTTAATAAATTTTACTTGTATTTGTATTTTGTAAGCATGTAGCTAAGATATAAATATTTAAAGTTTAAAAGTGCAGGAAAGTTTTTATGATAAAAATTTTATCTAATCTTCTAAAAGACAATCTTCCAAAAAAGACAGCTATATTTAGTAGTCTTCTTGATGGGTATATTTTTTTAAGTTTTCCCTGTTCTTCTTACTCTTTTAGGAGTGCATCCTTCAAAAGTGTGTCCTTAAGGAGTTTGTCCTCCAAGAGTGTATCCTTCAGTAGTTTGTAAATCGAAAGTTTGTCTTTAAGGAGTTTGTCTCCCATGAATTTGTCTCCCATGAGTTTGTCTTCCCTGAGTTTGTCTTTAAGGAGTTTGTCTCCCATGAATTTGTCTCCCATGAGTTTGTCTTCCATGAGTATGTCTTCCATGAATTTGTCTTCCATTAGTTTGTCTTCCATGAGTTTGTCTTCCATGAGTTTGTCTTCAATGAGTTTGTCTTCAATGAGTTTTTCTTCAACGAGTTTGTCTTCCATGAGTTTTTCTTCCATGAGTTTGTCTTCCATGAGTTTGTCTTCCATGAGTTTGTCTTCAATGAGTTTGTCTTCAATGAGTTTTTCTTCAACGAGTTTGTCTTCCATGAGTTTTTCTTCCATGAGTTTGTCTTCCATGAGTTTGTCTTCCATGAATTTGTCTTCAACGAGTTTGTCTTCCATGAGCTTTTCTTCCATGAGTTTGTCTTCCATGAGTTTTTCTTCCATGAGTTTGTCTTCAATGAGTTTGTCTTCCATGAGTTTGTCTTCAACGAGTTTGTCTTCCATGAGCTTTTCTTCCATGATTTTGTCTTCCATGAGCTTTTCTTCCATGAGTTTGTCTTCAATGAGTTTGTCTTCCATGAGATTGTCCTCCACGAGTTTGTCTTCAACGAGTTTGTCTTCTATGAGTTTGTCTTCCATGAGTTTGTCTTCCATGAGTTTGTCTTCAATTTGGGATTTTTGCCTTGGAAGTTTGTCATGGGAACCGATTGGACAAAACAGTTTTTTTGAAGGATTACTTTGATGCTGTAATAGTGTGTACTGGCACATACGCAGAACCTTACTATCCTGATATACCAGGTACACCTTACTATCCTGATATACCAGGTACAAAAACTATTAACTCAGCGTTCAGTTCATATTACAAACAGTTCTTTAATGCATTAAAAAAAATATCCTAAATTGTTTAAAACATGCGGCAGCGCTTGTCAATGGTAATTTTCATATTTACTCGTAATATAAATTTATACATTTGTTTTCTCTGTTTGTTAGTTTGTAGGGAATAGCTTGGTCTTGAGATTAAGTGGGTCCATATTTAAAGGGAAAATAGCTAAAATCGTTATTTCCGACCTAGTGCGGGTAAATGGTGGAAGTAACTATGTGCAGTGAAAGTACCCTAGGCGACGCTGGGTTTTCAATCAAGTATAATATATAAATGATAAAACAGCGTCAGTTTAAGGGATTTTTGACCGAATTAAGTCTTTTTTTTAACGGCAAGAATCAGGAATGTTGTCGCTCAGAAAATGGTGATTTAGAATCAAAACAATTTACATATCTAACTTAGAATACAATTTAGGTATTGAAACATTCCAAGGAAAGGTTATTCATAGCAGTGATTATAGATATGCTTCAACATTCAGGTATTTAAATCCAGGGGACATAAGTTCAAGACTACAATTTGACCCATTTTTGGCACTGGATTTGGAAATGTGCCAAATCTGCAAAGTTATCTTTTGCAATAGTATAAATCTTTCAATCCAAGCCAAGTAAAAACAAATTACAACATATATTTATTAAAGGCGGGAAGTGCTTTACATTGATTTTTTTACTTCATTCCACTCTAAAGGTGTAAGAATCTATTTTGGATAATACCTATTTTCAAACATATCCCTACTATTTAAATCAACATAAATTTTCAAGCATTCACACAGTTTCGTAACAAAACAAGATTTATATAAATCGTTTAATTTAACCAAATCAAAATTAAAAGATATACTGTTCTTTTACATTTTAAAAAAACATTGAAGACTTCGTGAAATCATAATTTTGATATATTTTTGTTTTTACAATCAGATTTGGCTAGAAATGCGGGTAATTATGAATAATTTAAAGAGCAGAAAATTTTTTCATCTCTTTACTCCGCATTTATAAATATAAGTGGATTCCTCATATGATTATTATAAAAGATTATTTATTCCATTTATTCCTAATAAGATAATTTCTGATTTCAGTAATTCAATCTTATAGTAAATTATGGAAATGGATTGCGGCAGCTGATTATGCTCAAAATAAAACGTAACCATGATTCGAATTCGTGAAGTGTTCAAAACCGGGAAACTTTTTTTTTGACTCACCCTGTGTATAGATTACAGATTTGACTGCTTAATCTAAATATTTTTAGGAATGAGGAAGTTGTCATTCTTGGGGCATCTTTTAGTGGAGCTGATATTGGATTAGATCTTGTTAAATCAGCTTCAAAGGTATAATATATCCTTCAGTGGAGCTGATATTGGATTAGATCTTGTTAAATCAGATTCAAAGGTATGATATATCCTTCAGTGGAGCTGATATTGGATTAGATCTTGTTAAATCAGCTTCAAAGGTAAAATATATCCTTCAGTGGAGCTGATATTGGATTAGATCTTGTTAAATCAGATTCAAAGGTATATATATCCTTCAGTGGAGCTGATATTGGATTAGATCTTGATAAGTCAGCTTTAAAGGTATAATAAATCCTTCAGTGGAGCTGATATTGGATTTGATCTTGTTAAATCAGATTCAAAGGTATATATATCCTTCAGTGGAGCTGATATTGGATTAGATCTTGTTAAGTCAGCTTTAAAGGTATAATAACTCCTTCAGTGGAGCTGATATTGTTGCTGTATTGATCTTGTTAAATCAGATTCAAAGGTATAATATATCTTTCAGTGGAGCTGATATTGGATTAGATCTTGTTAAATCAGCTTCAAAGGTATAATATATCCTTCAGTGGAGCTGATATTGGATTAGATCTTGTTAAATCAGCTTCAAAGGTATTATATATCCTTCAGTGGAGCTGATATTGGATTAGATCTTGTAAAATCAGCTTCATAGATATAATATATCCTTCAGTGGAGCTAATATTGGATTAGATCTTGTTAAATCATCTTCAGAGGTATAATATATCCTTCAGTGGAACTGATATTGGATTATATCTTGTTAAATCAGCTTCAAAGGTATATTATATCCTTTAGTGGAGCTGAAATTGGAGTTGATCTTGTTAAATCAGCTTCAAAGGTATAATATATCCTACAGTGGAGCTGATATTGGATTAGATCTTGTTAAATCAGCTTCAAAGGTAGTGAAACCCTTAATAACGAATACATCGAAAGAATTCATCAAATGTCGTATTCTTCACTTTCTGATAATGGAATGTTGCAGATATTTAGTNGTCTATTTTTTTTTAACGATCTGCCCTTGAAAAGTTGGCCCAAGCACATGTTTCTCAACTGTAAGATTATTTTTTTTGAAGGGGGGTTGTGGAGGACTTAGTTAGGCTAATTCTGTAAAGTGTTTAAAAGATCAACTGATCTTCAATAATTCAGTTAACAACGAAAGGATTTCTTTTGGTAATAGGGTGTCCCAAAAACTCTATATTAGGTACTAGAGCTCTCATGATTGTTTGATTTTTATATTTTAGAACATTTTTTCATTTTCTAAGATCCATATCCGAATAATGAACTGTATTTTGGTCCTTGAAATTCTTAATAGTGTCTTCTCTTTGTAGTGGAATAGCTAGATGTTCAGGAGCTAATACATTTACTTTATTAGATGGAACTTCAGTAGAAGCCACCTGTCTACTCCTTGCTACAGGTTAGAAGTGTTACTACCCTTAAAGCTAGGAACTGTGAACATAAGCCATTAAATAATTTAAAAAATTTTGATTTAAAAAAATCTTTGAAAATTTCGATTTATATTTTTTTAAGTCTTTGTCTACTAATGAGTTGCCTAAAAAATGTCTGACAATTTGATCAAGCCGTTTGGCGGCCATCTATAGGATGAAGATAAAACCTTATATGTTTATTTATATAAGCAAATAAATAATAATAATAATAATAATAAACATGATTTCAAGTAACTCTTCATTTACAGAGTGTCTTGTCCGATTTAGAACGACGCCCTTTAAACCCTTTATAACTGGACATTTAGTACCCGGCAAATAGATTCTAGTACAATAGATGGCAACGTAGAATTTGTACACTCTCGGTACAGCTGTATTCTCACGTCACAAGTGTCAATTCAGTTTTATAATAAAGTGCTTATCTTACAGTAAAATAAGTGCAATTAAATGTATTCTTTATTTTCTGTTTTTACACTTTTTTATTTAATCTTTAAAAACCTGTCAACTAATCTGAGAAATTTTCGTTTTCCTTGTTATATTTGACACTTATGACGTCGTGTATAATTGGTTCATTTCTCTGTTGCCACCTATTGTACTTGATAATCAATTAAGTACCCGGGAACCGCTAATGTACACATTGGGTAGTCCAAGATGCCACTAGAAATTACGGATTCAATCCCTTAAATTATGATTTTGGTTCAAGAGAAAAAAATGATCAATTACAATAGAGTAAACATTAATTAACACATAATGGAATGCTCAAAGAACTTTCTACCGTATAATCAATTTGAAATTTAAAATTTTTCTAAAAATTTTAATATTTTCTATTTCTAAGGATTTGATTACAGTTTTCCATTTCTTTCTCCTGACTGTGGTTTAACGGTGAAGAATCGTGAGGTAAACAGAACTTCCCTTATTACTTTTTGATAAAAGTAGTGCAAAGCATTTTTGTAACGCCTTAGGTAATGATTTCACCGCTCTAACTAACTAATGTTTTTATGTAATACGTTTGCCATAAGTAACACTATTAAACCAATTACACTTACCGTATTGATTACACTTGCCATAATTACAATTAATTAATTAATCATTTAATTAAGAAGAAGCTCATTAACAATAAGGTTAAGGTACTACACTATATTGGAAAAGTATTGTATTGTCATTGATCTCTTCACCATGCACACCGGACTAACCAGAGTTAGAAGCATTCGTTTTATTACATTTAAAATAAAAAGTCTTTTTGTTTAAATTCAATAATCTTAAAACTTGCGGATTGTCAAAAAAGTATCTAAGAAAAAAGGCTAAAAAATATGTATAATGGGTCAAATTGTGATCGAAAGTCACAGCTTTCTGAAATATAGAGAAAACCGTCAAATCCAGGTGACCAAGCTCTTTCTACCAGTATCTTAGTGTTTATGTCTAGCTCTCCCGGCAGTATTATTAGAAAACTAAAGTTTGCTCTTTAGATCAGTCCCCTGTACAAGCATGTTATAAACATAGAGCATCCAACCATGGCTATTTTAGGTAAACAAAAAAAATTAAATGTTTTAATATTTTTAGAAGTTCTAAGATTTATTTTAGGAATTCTGACCCATGTCATTCTCTTCCCCCAAGTGGACCGCCAGGTAAGGAACCGTAAATATTGTTTACGAGTGTCCGATTTACAACAGTACTATAAATATTGTTTACGAGTGTCCGATTTACAACAGTACTCTAAATATTGTTTACGAGTGTCCGAGTTACAACAGTACTCTAAATATTGTTTACGAGTGTCCGAGTTACAACAGTACTCTAAATATTGTTTACGAGTGTCAGAGTTACAACAGTACTCTAAATATTGTTTACGAGTGTCCGATTTACAACAGTACTCTCTAAACCTTTGTTAGAGCAACAATGATTCTTAAAAGCATGTTTACCTTTAAACTAAATTGTTTTATGGCGGATCTCTTTAAGAGTGACTTACGGATTTATGCAACAGGAGAGAAAAAAAAAAATTGTTAAAATTCAACAGTTTTCTTGTCGTCAATTTACATGGAAGGTCCATATAATAACTAGGGTTTCTAGCGAAAGAAAATTTCGCGAAAATTTTCGTTCGTTTTTCCCAAACTTTTTCCTTAAATTTCGCATTTTTTCTTTAGAATGAATTAAGCGAAAAATGCTAAATTTCGGGAAAAAAAAATTCACGGGAAAAAAAAAATTCCACAGAAGCCATAAGTATTGTAGCTGCAACAAATAGCGCAAAGAAACTTGTGCAAATTAATAATTTCTCTTCGGTTTTTTTTTTCGTAAAAGTTTTGCATTTTTTCCCCAGAAATTTTCGGATTTGTTTTTTTCGCGCAATTTTCGCAATTCTTTCTCGCGAAAATTTCCAATTGTTTCACGAAGCAGATCAAAGCGAAATTTCGCAAAAAAGCGAAAATTTTCGCATTTATCTCGAGCGAACGAAATGCCAAAACATGCGAAATATTTGGTGAAACTTTTTTTTCGCAAAAAATCCGAAATTTTCGTGAAACGATTTACCCTTATCGCTAGAAACCCTAATCATAACGCAATTATAGTTCTTTTATTACAGATTTGGAAATTATTCAACAAAAAAATCATAGCAAAGAATTTATGAAAGGAATTAAATGCTTAGAATTATTTTAGGTCCAGTTTTTTCTTAAATCCCTGAATGACGATCTACTATTGCCTTCCAAGGTTTGAGACATATTATCTATCATAAAACAAAAATTAAGATTTTATGGGAATTGGACCCATAAAACTGTGAAATAGAAAGACGACAATTAAAAATTTTTTCTTTATTTCATTTTTTAAAAAACAAATTGTTTTAGAAATACAACAGTAGCTTAAACATCATCTTATTAAGTGTATTGTCAGTGTACAGTGTACAGTGTACACTGTACAGTGTACACTGTACACTGTACAGTGTACACTGTACAGTGCAATCCCTATGTTGTATGTTTATTATAATATTCAAGTCTAACAGTTATCTTCCTATATCACAGTTTTATAGGTCCCACTGAAGACACCTTTATCTTTGCTAACTATTTTAAACTTGAAGATTAAATTATATGTTTGACTTAATTTTTGTTATTTTTTTTTTTGCTGGGTTGGCTTGATAGCACGGAAAAGCAGAATTAAAAAAAATATGAAAATGTTTAGGAAATTATTAAAATATTTAGGAACTTATAGAAATATTTAGGAACTTATCAAAATATTTAGAACTTATAAAAATATTTAGTAACTTATAAAAATATCTAGGAAATTATAAATATTTAGGAAATTATAAAATATTTAGGAACTTATAAAAATATCTAGGAAAATTATAAAACTATCTAGGAAATTATAAAGAAATTTAGGAAATTATAAAAATATTTAGGAAATCATGTACGAAGATACTGCACAGGAAAAGAAAAGAAGAACAGCCGAAGGAATGAGGCCCCAAGATTTTCATAAGGTTTTTCTTTTCATGACATGTAGGAAAGTAAAGAAACTGTATTTTTCTAATAACTCTATCTTTGAAACCTAATGTTAATATTTCAATATTTCAAAATATGAAAAATGCGATATAAAAGATAATAAGGTTTATACACCATCAGGTTGCTAGATATAAAAGATAATAAGGTTTATACACCATCAGGTTGCTAGATATAAAAGATAATAAGGTTTACACCATCAGGTCGCTAGATATATGGCTTCAAGGTTTAAACATCTTTTTAAATTTAAAAACATAATTTGTTTTTTAGCATATATTTTGTAAAAAATATTTGTAATAAAATAAGTCAAATCTTCAGGGATTGAATTTTCTGAATTGGAGAGGTCGCTGAACTCCCTATACTGCCTCGCGATTCAAATCCTCATTCATCTTTTACTTTTAATTGGTGATTCAGATTTGAATCAGCAGTAGGTAGTTAGGCAACCTAGCTCAAATTCAATTAATTCAGTCCCTTTAAACTTTTTCATATTTCTTTAGGTTTAGTACTGGAACAAACAAGCATATTTCGATGTATATCAATAGTAGAATAGTAGAATAGTAGAATAGTAGAATAGTAGAATAGTAGAATAGTAGAATAGTAGAATATTAGAATAGCAGAATAAGTTAGAATTTTCATAAGTTTTACGTTGCACTTTGAAATTGGACTTTACTACCTTTATAGAAGAACTAGCTGAAATGCCAGGCGTTGCACATACAATTTTAGAGCGCTAGCTTCAATAAAATTTTGAATTTAAAAAAAAATTTCAAATTGGTTTTGCCTATGTTACCCTATAGGGTGTTCAAGGGTTCCCTCGAAAAATGTCAGCTAATTCGATCTAGCTATTTAGTATTTAGCCAGCTATAGCTGACATATAAGTAAAAATAAGCGTATAATATAAGTAAAAAAGAGCTTCATTATATAGATTTTTTAAAAATATTCTGATTACAGCTTGGTGAGGAGAAATGGGCTTATCTGGAAAACTTGAGTAAAATGGGTGGATTTCAACCATTGAACCCTCTTGTGGAAAAAATATGCACGTAAGTATCTTTTATCTTCTTCATCAATTTAAAACAAAAAAATTCAGTCTTAGCCACAAACTCAGATTTTGAAATCCTTATATCTTTGCTACCTAATGTCGTAAACTATAGATATTTCAAATTATGGATTCAGTCCGATCCAGGTTGCAAAGATATAAAGATTGGTAAATTTGAGTTTGTGGCAGAGACTCAATTCGTTTTGTAGCTATTATCTACAAGTGTTTTTGAATATGATATAAGTTTTTAATTTTTGGAACTGATTTTTCAAAGGGGGTATAACACAATTCTTTTTCCTTGTAATCTAATGATGTTTTGGACATTTGAAAAAGATATTATTTAAAAAACATAAGCGTTAATTCTTCCAAAAACAGCTCAAACATATTTGTAAAAGGACATATTGTAAAGAATGGCATATTAAGATTTACTAAGGTATCCTTGAATTCTTTTTCAGATCAAACAGGAATGAGATATGCTATTTTTCTTAGGCAAAAATTGATTGTTTTTAATTGTTGTTTCTTTATGAAAGCATCTTGGGGATTTATGCTGAAGAAACAATGAAGGAACTTAACCGATTTTGATATGGTTACAAGAATGAACTCGAAGTTATATCAGATAAAAGTTATCGTTGTGAATGTGATACACAAGTATTTAAATAGGAGGAACCCTTGAAGTTTAGGTTGATTCCTTTAAAAATAAAAATTGTCATATTTGTTACTAAAACTTTATTTTTCAAGTCATACTGGAGACCAGAGGGTTGTCAACCTTCCTCAGTATAAAAACAAAAACTATATTCTGCTGGATGATGAAACATTTGATTTTGTGTAATTAGAAAATATTAATAAATCCTTCCTTACCAATACAGAATACTGTATTACTGTGTTGTGAATTAAATCATATATTTTAAAATTAAAATTATTGCTTCAAGATTAAAATGATGAGTCTGTTAAAGAAGAAAATTTAGAAATGCCCACTTTGGATATCGAGATTAAGCGTCAAAGATTAAAGTTCGGGCCTCTGATCTGATTCTGGATTTTATTTTTTTATTTTTTCCCAATTCGAGGATTTTCGCCAATTTCGATTTATTTATTATTTTCAAAGAGTGACAAAAAGGCCAGTTATTTTCAAATATAGAGCATTGATTATGTGTTAATTAAAATTAAATATGCATTTTAAGCAAATATGCTTGTTCTGTTTAAGTTGACAATTATTTTGAAAATTTACTAATTGGGAATCCTTTAGATTTAAGATATCATTTAAAAATCATTTCTAGAAATAACTTTAAAAATAATTTTGAAATCTTAAATGTTCAATAACATTTGTTGGTGTAAAAAGAAGGGAATGATTTTTTTAATATCTTCTCGCTAGAAATTATAAAATGCGAGGTTGAGTCATGAGTTGTTTAATGTTGAAATAAAAATTAGAGAAACTAAACACGCGATTGTAATTAACCATCTGATTCACAATTGTACCCTTGAAACCTTTTTATGTAAAAGAATATAAAAGAAAATAATGAGTTTTCAGAAAGAGTAAGAAAAATGGTGATATCTCTTAAATTTTTGACAAGACAAAGATTTACAGTGTACCATTGTGAATCGGACATGGCATTCTAAAATTAGAGGGTCGCTTTACAGTTTCTTTAATGAGCAGTGAATCCGCTAAAATGAGAATGAGCTTCAGATTTATCACAAAAATGTTCAAGGAAAATTATCTTAGTCACTAATTTTACAACTAACTATCTTTGATCTTTTATACAGGAAGATCAGAAGGCCACTGCCCACTAGCCAGTTAGTGATTCATAAAAACATGATGATCCTTAACTTTTTTTAAATTTTCCCATGGGTCCGAAGCGATCAGATTAAAAAACTCTTGAAAATCTTGATAATATATAAATGCCAAGCAAATGTTGATCAAAAATGAAAAAAAAAATTTTTTTGCATTATAGCATTGCTAAATTTTTTGAAAATTTCAAAAATCTTTTAAGTTTGTCTTTTAAACTCTCAGCCCCCCCCCCTGGCAATGCATATAGAATCAGACTTTGTAGGTTTAACATACAACATGTAGACTTTTGGCAATTTTCTTCGCAAAATTTAAGAATCTTTATGACTAAACAATTTTCAAAAATTGACATGACTCCTTTCTTGAACCTAAGATTAATCTGGTATAGATTGTTTGTGTTTGTATCTGTGTTTGTTTAACACTAATTGAATACAGCCTGCAAGTATAAAAGTTCACCAATGTCTAATCTAGTTGAGCAACTTCCAATCCAAGGTGAATAAATGTATCCTACCCCACATTGGATATACAGATTAATTTAATTCCCCCTAGAATATCCTGCACTAGTGGTCCCTAGAATATCCTGCACTGGTGGTCCCTAGAATATCCTGCACTGGTGGTCCCTAGAATATCCTGCACTGGTGGTCCTACTCTGCAGAGAAAACTAATATAAAGGAATCCAGTACTTATCTCTAAACTTTACAAGTTTTCACAAACGGATATCGAGATCAAGTGTTGTGTTGCCCTTTCACTGAAAGTTTTGACTTAATTTCATTCAACAAAAACCTTTAAAACAGAAGTCAGTTCTTTTCTGATTCTATCAACTATTCTAATTTCTCCCCTGCTGCTGCAAGAATATCTTTGATTGAGAAATTAAGCGTTTATCCTCAAATTTAAAAATGCCCACATGATAAAGATATATAGATCAATTCAACCATTCAAGATTACAGATTCTCTTGAAAGCAAGGGTCCTTTGGTTAAAGCACTAAACATTTTAATTGGCCAGCAAATTATGCTGTTGTTGCAGTTTTAAGCACAAAAAAAAACATAATTTGTTTTTTTAGAAATTGTGCCAGATTTGCAACTCTCAGTCTGCAAAAAGTTGACATTTCAGTTGTGTACCACTGAAATATTAGGAAGTAAAATTTTTATAAATACATAAATGGAACTATTGTAAACTATACATTTTTTTGCTTAAAGGGACTGTAAAGGAAAAATGAAAGGTGGTTTAGGCTGAAGCCTGAGCATTTTAGACAACCATGAGAGTTCTATCTGATGTTTCTGTCGCGAGAAATTGTTAGAAAACTGTGTCAAACTAATACAAAAATCTATATATATAAAATTGTGTATAAAACTAGCAGGTTTAAACGGACCATATTCAGCCAATACACAACCAATCTGAAAACAACGATATCCCAGAGGAGCCTAAGAAACATAGGTTTGCTTCTATCATTATTTGAATTTAATAATTTTTTATTTATAAAAGATATAATTGTTAACATTATTTAAACGTACATACCCAAACTTCCACCAATGGCAGTGCAGTACGTTGGTCACATGATAAACATACTGCACTGCCATTGGTGGGAGTTCTGGTCATATGATACTGACATATTTTTTATATTATCAATTATACCTATTAAAAATGAAAAATTATTAAATTATATCGTCGTTTTCAGATTGGTTTTGTATTTGCTAAATATGATCCATTTAAACTTACTTTTTTATGCAACATTTTATATATATATGGATTTTTATATCAATTTATCGAGACAGAACTCATGAGATAGAACTCTCATGGGTTCCAATCAACTCCTAAAATGCTTAGGTTTCAGCCTATACCCCCTTTAAATTTTCCTTTACAGTCCCTTTAATAATGACTACACGTATTTTTTAACATACATATTTCACAATAAGTCCTTGTAAAAATATTTTTTTGACAACAATTTTTTCCTTATATGTGATTTGCAAGGTACCGAGAAAATGAGTATTATAATTTATAAAATATTAATCCCCCAAAATTTTATGTCTTAACTCTTAATCTAGCAGTCTAACAATTAGTTTAAAGTGAGTGTTCGCGAAAAATGAAAGGGGGTATATCTTTTGCCACATTTGTATATATTTGATATTTCATACTAGTCTTGATTTTGTTTTTTAAAATAATATTTAGCTTACAACTTGTTTTCGAACATTCCTGGAAAATATGAAAATGTCGTCTTCATTACCAAAAAATCCTCGAAACAGGAATAAATGTTTGTATAAGTAACTCTCAGATCATAACAATTAAAACATATTATGAAAAATCAACTATATACAAATGTGGCGAAAGATAATTAATGACTATAGGTTGTAAAATCTGAATGATTTGTTTGATATTAATTTGATTTTTTTATGATTCAAGTGGTATGTTCCAACTTCCTCAATTTGTATGGGCGCTACGCTCTTCGGTATGTGATGTCTTTATAAATTTTCTCCTTATAGATGCAACAGATAGAAGTAAGATTAGTAGCGATCAAAAGCGCTTATTTATCACATTAAGCCTATACCCCCTTTCATTTTTCGCGTACATTCCCTTTAATAATTGTTTGTGTGGCAGGAAACTTGCATACAAGCATACAATACCAGTAACTTCTGAATTTATGATCTAATTCTTACCTCAATAAATAAAGTAGAATTCCAATTTGTTTTGATCTTCTGATTGGCTATGTTTAAAACTGTTTTTCAGTCTAATCTGCAAAAATTGGGAAATGAGATTAATAATGAATTATGAATAAATAAAGAAATATAGTAATTCTTAAAAATATACTCAAATTAATTTAGAATATCTTATTTCTACTTAAATTTACATTTAGATCAAACCCATCTTGAAGTTTACTTGTATACAGACCAGAAGGTGATTAATTCTTCAGGGATTGAATTTAATGACATTGAGTTACGTCGCTGAACTACCCACTGCTGGTTCAAATTTAAAACACTGATTCAAAGTTTAGGATTAAGGAGGTTTTTGAATCAGTGATTTAAATTTGAACTGAAGTTACTGGGGCAGTTCAAATTCATTAAATTCAGCCCCAGATTACATTTTTTTATGATATAGAATAACAGAACAAGTAGGATAGAAGGATCATTGACTCGGACTGTGCTACCTGAGTGGTCCAAAAGGGATTTACTAAACATACACCTGCATGTAGATATATATTTCTGAGCAAGTAATCAATTTAGATGTAGAATTCCATAGTGTGTCCATTGTCCAGTGGTTCTGTGGAGGGAGCGGCATCTAGAACTTAGTAACAGTAATTATGGAAATACAAATATTTTTGTTCTTTAAGCCCATTTTTCTATTTTATGTGAATGTTGCGGCATGTATAAACTCGTCAGACGCCGCCCCAGTATGCGTCAATAGTTCTTCTATGCCACCTGTTCTGTGTATAGAACAGATATAAATTTACTCTTAAATACAGATTAATAAGTTTTTCTGTTACAGGATAGAACTTGCATGGAACAAGAAAATTTCTTGAATAAATCCTTGAAGTTAACTTTTGATAAAAATTTTCTATCTGAAACAGAGAACCTGGTCAACATATTTGATATTATTGAAAGAATAGATGTAAGGTCTGAAAATAGTTCTGATTGGATGACAAAATTTGGGAATTTTTCTGACAAACCAATCAACTTCAGGTATTGCTAGAGACTTCTAGATATAGTATGATAATTTTTAAATGACTTAAAATATGTTTAATTAGAATCAGAGAAAAATTTTAAGGTTGTTGAAATTTGATAATTAAAAAAATTTGCCTATAATTTAAAAAGTACAAAATATTTCTTTTGAAGCACACAAATTTATCCGTATGTAGACAATCATATATTTCTTTGCTTTACTTGGAATTCCTACATTTCCCAATTCTTCAATATCAGAGTTATACCAACCACATATTCAGGTCTTTTTAAAAACTTTTTCCGAACCATATGATATAATAATGAAGAGTTTTTAAGGAGAAGTTCAATTGTATGTTCATAAAGAAAAAGAGTTTCTCAGAAGGAAAAGAAATGCTCTGATGGAAATCCACTATATCGATCATATCATGGACTTAAACATAGACATCACATCTAACCAGCTTGTGCCTTCACCAAACAATCCATGTGCCACTGATACTTTTGATTCTTGTGTTGATAACTTTATTAAGACAACACTGAACGATCATTGTCGACTTCCTTTTATGAAAGATACCATAGGAGAGATTCCAATCTGTAACACTGGTGATAGCATGCAAGGTGCACTTAATCTATTCCAAACTAGCCATCTAGAATGTTCTCAAATAGAAGTGAGGATTGAGGCAAATCCAGTGGACTGGATGTACATCTTGATGAATCCTAATTTTCCGGTTAAGACAGTTATCCCAGGGTACTATTTGACAATCCCTAGAACAGTTCTGGTGTCCAGGATGGTGGAAAATTATACTACTGTCTCCTTCATTGCTGAATTTGGAGGTTGGGTTGGATTATTCCTGGGAGTTTCACTGCTTGGAGTGTTTAAGCTGATGGTTGTTCCGTATTTCAATTCAGACACTGACAAGTTATTAAAAAAAATCCTAATGACTGGTTTGACTTTTATGAAAACTGTTTGTATAATATGCTTGGCATACATACTGTTTAAATGCTGTGAAAAGATGATAACTGGAGAAATTAAATCAGATGTCAAGTTTCAAGATGATCTTAAGAATATCAGTTTATCACTATGTTCTATGGAAAACAGCTATAGAGTAGAATATTTGGGAGCAAATCTGTCTTATGTTGGAAACATTCCTGGGTTTTGGAATAATATAACAAAAATAATGGATAAGTTAGACACCCTACAAATTGATTTTCAAAATGGAAATAAAGTTACAATAAAGGACTTCACCCAAAGTCAACATTATTTTGAACTCACTTCCAACATACCAAGATATGGAACATACATAGAAACCTGTCATACATTTAAATTGAAAAATCATATAAAGATGTTGAAAGTTAAAGCCAAGAAAGAAATGAGAATTTATGTTCACATGTCAGGCCAGCTGTTTAGACCTGGAAGACATGGTTTTACATTTATAAACTCAGATACAGTTATAAGCCGAACCAGGTAACAGGTTTTGGCCTTAAATCAAACAATTTCAAAAATATTGAAAGCATAATAGACATATCTTTTTGAAAACACTATGTCTATTTGGGAATTTGATCTATGATTCTTTTTGGTCTAAAAGTTTTCTGTTCTATAGAGAATTAAATCAAAAGATGAAGAAAATGATCCAAAATAATTTTTTAGATTTAAATCTTCACCTTAGCAAAAAACACAGAAAATGTGATCTAAAATTTGAAGGATCTTTTCTAAATAGTTTTTTTTTAAAATTGTCTGATTAAATAACATTTTTTTGTTGTACATTTGTTTAAAATCCAGATTTTTTAAAATTTTTGTTCATGTTAGAGATAAATAGATTTTAGTTAAGAAATTAGTAGGATTTAGGTTAGAGAGGTTTAGGTTAGGGATGAGTAGGGTTCAGGTTAGAACTGAGAAGGATTTAAGGTAGAGATGAGTAGTGTTCAAGTTAAATATGAATAGGGTCCAAGGTAGAGATTATTAGGGTTCCAGTTGGCATGGTATCTATAGTGTTGGGTATTTTCCCAAAGGCATTTTCCCAACGGCAACTTCCCAAATAACTTCTCGTTAGGTTAGGCCTTCTGAGGCGTCGCAGTCTACAATGGGGGGTCAAGCCCTGCAGCTTGGATGAGCTAAGGCACCAAGCCCTGAGGCTAGAACTGGCTAGGGGGGCCAAGACCTGTGGCTAGGATAAACTTGGGAAGTTGCTGCTTAGGAATTTGCTGTTTTGGAAATTGCACAGTTGGGAAGATTCCTCTTGGGAAAATTCCATAGAGGTTATAGTATATAGAGTGATGATTTACTAATTGTACAGACCATGTACTCCACTTCAAAGGTCAATCTGTATACTGCAGTACTTGGGGGTGATTTCTTAAAACACTCATATTGCACATCTGGCTAGGAGAATTTGTTTTCCATTTCACTAGTGTAATTCACTGCTCTTCCATTGTGTGCAGGATTACATTTTCACAGGAAGAGCAATATTTCATCGCTGACAAACATTTCTCAGAAAACTGAGTAAAATTTAAGATAAAAACCTCCCCATGCACTTAAACTAAGAAAGCGTACCGCATATTTGATGGCTGTACTGTATGAGTAGGCCATAATCTCTTTATATCCTTCACCAGTAAACTGTTTTAAATGTACACTTAGACTAATATACACAGACAGAGAGCTAAGATTCAGCCCCCCTGGAAAATACCTAACTTTACCTTATGATAAAGCCCTACATGTCTCTACCTAAACTATCAAGCTTTGGATACTATTCTCTACATTTTGACCCTACCACACTTTAGATCTAATTCCACTCTATTTAGATGAAAGTCTACACTTCATAAACATATTTTATTATGTTTCATTATCAGAGGAAATTTTTAATGAAATTTAGTTTTTGATCTAATCCTATACTTTCCTAAAAAATGTGGGATTTTGATTAAAATTTTTTTTCAAGATCAAATTCCACAGAGTTATTATACTAAGTTTGATTGTATGGAAAAAACGTTTGTTTTTAAAGTTGTTTAATTTTTTTTGCCCAAAACAAATTCATTTGAACCAATTGAAAATTCAAAACTTCTTTGAAAATTAACTTCAATTAGGTCCAACATTTATGAAAATTTTATGCTTCTAAATGAAATTCATGTTCCAAGCAAGAAATTTTCTTTGGGTCAAATTCACAATTTTTTTAATAAAACTTTCTTTGAAGTTGTGTAGATATATTCTTATTTTTATAATCTTCTCAGTGGCCTAACTTTAAGAATTTAAACAGTGTCTCTGAACAGCAAAAACTGGTTCCCATTGAGCTCCGGATGAAATCTTGGAACACTGAATACAGTTTCAAGTAAAATCAACCATGTTTAAGCTGTGTCCCAAATTTGAGACATGGCTCAAATTTTTAAAATCTGTCTCTTAGCCCTTTTTTGCTTAAATGTCAGAATGGGGAGATTTTATTTTTTGGTGATTTCTCAGTTTTGACTTTTTAAAGTTCTACTGATGTTTCATTGCTGTTTTTAATTTAAGTGATGAATATGGTTATGTTTGTGAATCTTTCTTTGGTGTAAGAATAAAAGTATTGAATCAAACCCTCATTTATAATGATGAATACAAGGAGAATAATATGTTTGATGACTGTATATTGAATGCGGTGGTTAAGAATATTGGAAACCCAAATGTTAAACAGATATTGAAATTAGAAAAGCATATGATTGTTACTTACACATTACCAGAAAATGTTTTCAAAAATCTTTCAAGAATTTTTGAGAATGTACTTAATAGCCAGCAATGTGTAATACCTAGCCTAAGAATAAAGGCTACATTTTCATTATGGCAAATGGATTCAATGTCAGTAACAATGTTTCGTAAATACACTGAACCCTGGGTAAATGAAACATTTGAGAATAAGCAAATGTATTACTTCAACCTCGAGTTGCCTTTCTCAGTAATTACTAATCAGGTAAATTTCATGTAATTATTATTTTTCTCATTTATCTTCAAAAATGTTCAAATTCTCATAGGCCTACTTTTCTTATGGTATGGTGTCTTTCATTGCTGAACTTGGAGGATGGATTGGATTACTTCTTGGATTCAGGTTTTTAACACTTTGGTAAACTATTTATCTAAACAAAACTTAAACTTTTATATTTTAGTGTCCTTGGAGTTGGCTCTACCTTAAATGACTTCATATTTCGAGAGAAAAGAAAAATTGCCTTTGTGGGGCATTTAGTTTTTATGATAGCTATAATTATTGCAATGATGTATCTATCTATTATTTCAATATTAAAATTGAAGAGTAGGCCAACAGGAACTAATGTAGAATACCATAGTATTCATTCTCAAGTAAACCTGTCAATAACATTCTGTAAAACTGGAAATTTCAATACAGGCAGAGATGGGCATCAATTTTTGTGAATGAACAACATTTTTCAAATCATACTATTGTTTTTAAAACCATAGTGTTTTTTTAGAAAATTTACTAACAATGAAGGAACAAATTGGATCATTCAGAGAAACTTTTGAAAAAAATTTAAATTCTAATTACTGAATGAACAATTTCTTTGAACAAACTTGAAAAAACAATATTTATTTTTCACTGAACTAACAATTATTTCAAATGAACTTTTGAAAAACTAACAATTTTTTTACTAAAAGAATGATTTGATTAATGAATGATCTCACTGAACAAACAATTTATGTGAATGATCCTTCAGTAAGAAAAAAATAGATGGAAAATGAACAATAGTTCTGAAAACCAATAAATAAATTTTTTTTCATAACGAATAAAATAGTTTGTTAACAATCAATGAACAGACAAATTATAAAAAACCAAACAGGCCCATCTCTTAATACAGGAGGCACTGTGTACATACAAGAAAATGAACAGATGCCATGGAGGCTATATTTTGATTTTAAAAATTATACAGGAGCGGAAATGTTTGTTTGGCAAAGAAGTCTTTTTGAATTATTTAAATGTGTGACAATTCCGTACAAAGGAATCAGTATGAAAATAAATCACAAAATGAACAGATATATATCAGACAGTATTTACTTACATGATTCAGGTTTTCTATTTGGGCAAAATGCGTTGAAGATCAGCAGTGTTTTCTTACAAGATACAAACATCCTTCAGCTCTCTGTAAAACAGTTTCAACAAATTGAAGATGATGGCTTGTGTTCAAATTTGATAAACTTTGACTTTTGCAGGGACAGGCATATTCAGGATAGAATGAATGCAACATTTGGGTGCGTTTTATACTTAAGGTAAACATCTTTGTTTGTACAGAGGCCAACATATTGTGTTGGGAATCCTGGGATTCAGTCAGTTGTCCTTGATATTTGATAATTTTCTGAAATATTTAAGAAGAGTTGATAGGGAAAAAAGATTTTGTGCAATTAATCAGAGATATACATCACAACTGAATGTACCCCTCTTGATTGAAAACTTGATGGAGAGCATGAGGGGGATTTATTTTTATCCCCACCACCCTCTTTTTTCTAATAACTTCACTCTATGACAATAATCTTTTACATTTATTCCTTTTTAAGATTTAATAATACTTTTGTTTTCTTATATTCTAGAGATTCCTTTACTGAATACAATATTTGTGACACAGAAACCACCCCAGCTCCCATTAAATATTCTGCAGTGGGCACCAGATTTATACCTCCACCTCCACCACTAGGGATAAACCATAGTTTTTCCTTATATTTAGATAATTATCCTTACTCATTTTCTAGTTGAAGTAAGGACTAAGGCTGGATGTGTTCTAACTTTTTCAAAATTTTCTATCTGTTCCGGTCCAATTGTTCTCATGAAAAAAACAGTCGTTCCCAAGAAAAGATCCCCTGCTCTTAGTGCTTGGCATGTTCTTACTTTTTCAAATCATTCTCTTTGTGTTTTCCAGACAATTAACCTTTCTCCTTTTTGGCCAATTTAAGCCCCCTTAATCTTTAACAGACAATCAACCATACTCTTTTACAACTAAGGTTAAGTTAATTTAAGTGCCTTTAAGTTTTCCAGACAAGTAGTGCAGTGAGCACATTTCAAATTGCATGGTTTGCTTAGATCTAGAGAGAATGAAAAGAATGCAAAGGCTGAAGGAAGGATACCAAGAAATCTCTGCCAGCTTTAAGGCAGGGCCAATAACTTGCCTTTTTCCATGTAGAACAACCATATTTGAAGTTCACCGTTTTTACAGAGAGAAAAAGGTAAGGTTCATTACAATTTATAACAAACTTAGCTAGTGGGGTAGATCAAATAGTCCAATGGTATGGCTGGGTACTGTTAAAAGTCTGCCCAACCATCAAAATTGAAGCTTAGCTAGCATAAGATAGAGTTGAGTCTGTACTTGATGTGCATCACTAAGGCTGGTACAAAGAGTCTGTCCAGTTTGACTTCAAATTGAACCTAGTCCACTGTGAATTATTCCTAAAAAAGTTTTTGTTGTTGTTTATTTCTAGAAGAGTGGATCAGAGGAAAAGTATCTGATTATTAAGAAGCCTAAAGACCTCCATTCGCATAAGAATGAGTATATTTACACAATCTGGGAGTTTGCTGCTGAGTTCGGTGGCTGGATGGGAGTTCTGTCGGGATATAGTATACTAGATATAAGTTTTATCATTATTCAAGCAGTTCAACATATTGCACAACTTTTTTTGAATAGTATTCCAAATATTTTCTATAATTCAAATAAGTAAATAAATTCATGTACAATTTCAGTTCTGATTATTTTCAATCCTCTGCATGCAGATGAATTATATTTAAAGGTTGTGTGCAAGTGAGAGTACAGTAATGTAGAGATATTTTTAGAAACCAATCTTTAAAATCCTCCTGGCTCTCACCCCGAGGCAGGTTAAATGTCAGATTAAATTTTCTGGATCTAGCAATATATATATGTGACAAGAATTAAATCTTTTAAAAGGGAATGCAGACATATTTTCAAGTGATCCTCAATTTGTAGAGCACTGGAAAATCCGGTTCATTTCCAGTAGAGGGCCGACTAGAGCAAGATGTACAGTACACAATATATAACAGACAACATAAGGCTAAACAAAACAGACGAGAAATTGAAAAATCACTTCTTTGCAAATTTATGGCCAATAAACATTTGACTGATCAGAGTCTAATTCTAAAGAATGCGCGAATTTTAAGTTTGAGGTTAAAATTTCTGTAAAATAATGAGTATGCTACTTAAATATTAAACTTTCTCAATTTTAAATTTGAATTTCCCGGGAAAATCTGAACCAATCAGAGAAAAGGATTTACGAAGAATTATTTCGCAACTATCGGTAATCAGCTCTTTTTTAAATTTTAAATTATTTATGTGAAGGAAAACAAAACATATTTCCAGTTATAACCGTATTTTGGGTTTACATGCACACATTAATCAATCTAAAACGTGAAATTTATTAAATCAAGGTTTTTACTTTTAAATATATCGTAATCAGTTGAGTGCCGCTTACCCCTGAATGATGATAGACAAATAGGGATTGCGGGATTTCAAGATTTTAACCCTGTGTTTAAATTTTAACTCGTCGATTTCGGCAAGTTAAATATTTAACCACAGGGTTGAATATTTAACCTCACGGTTAAAATTAAGGTTTCAATTAAGTCAGAAGTGGCATTTAACCATGAACTTAAAATTTAAGTCAAAACTTTTCGTTCTTTAGTTTTAAACTCAGGATGGTGGAACTATCCTTATTTTAAATTCATGCACAGGAATGCTTTTATTAATTGATAGACTTTTTATGCAAGCTGTTTTAAAGCCAGAAAAATGATTTAATGATTGTGCTGATTTTTTGTTGCCAGAAAAAACTCAAAATTCTCCGGCATTGATAATCAAATACTGTTTACTGAATCTAATAAGCCAGCCTACAAGGGGAAGGACACATTAAGACATGACCTCAGACACTTTTTTTTAGAATATTTACAGTAAAGTTTCAAGATTTCAAAAAAACTGATACCATTTTACTTGCTTATAGACATTATTACAACTTTGATGTTTTCCTTTATGCATTTAACCCCAGTTTTATTTAAAAGCACATTTACATGTTTTATTTGCATCATATTTTATCATTGGAAATTTAGTGCTTTCTCTTCTTAACTCGTGTCTTTCGGGCTTTTTTAGGACTTGCCACTTTTGGCTTTTCTCCTTCTTCATAAATTACAGCTTTTGGTTTTGCTACTTTTTCCGGTTGGACTGGTTTTCCTATATTTTCTGGTTGGACTGTTATTCCTTCATTTTTTGGTTGGACTTGTTCTCCTATATTTTTTGGTTGTACTGGTTTTCCTTCATATTCTGGTTCGACTGACTTTAAAAGCTCCTTTAGACCTGTTTGTACAAAAGAAATGACTTCAGGAGCCTAAAAGTAAGACATTACACAAGTATGGATGTATTCCACTAAAGTTAAATAAAAAAACCTCAGCTGTGTGAAGAAATATGTCTGCTTTTTTAGATGCTGCCTTTAGTTCTGCTTCACTTCCAGGTTCAGCCAGGAGCTAAAAATTAAACATAAAACATAAACTAGCTGAGATGCCTGGCGATGCCTGTAAAATAAAATAAAAAATTCAAATTTTGAAAAAAATCGATTTTTTTCCAATGTTACCCCTGGGTACTCAGGGGTTCCCTCAAAAAATTTCAGCCCATAAGGTCCAGCCGTTTGGCCAGCTATAGCTAACATACATACAAATATATTAGCGAAGAGCTTTATTATTTAGATAATACCTAGTACCTGTACCTGGCAATACAGAGTGTCCTAACAAACATTGGAATAAAAGTGACGATTTTAAGATCCTTGTTGTAAATGATTTTAGATTTGGATTGTATTCTGTTGTGCTTAATAAAATAATACATTCCTGTGTACAAACAAAGTACAAGGTGTTCCAATAAACATGGGAATTCAGTGACGAATTCGATATCGTCTTTTTAAATAATTCTTTGATTTAGTATAGTGATACCTACTGAGAAAGCTGTAATCTGTACGAGTTTCGTCTGCTATGTTCACATTTTGTTTGTTTATGCTTTGACTGCATACGGTTGTACTTAGTAAAACAAGAAAATTGCAGTATACAAACAGAGTAAACTTGTCCGTCTTCACTGTTCACCTTGCGGATACATTATAGACACATCTTTACAGCCATTTACCTTTTTCATAAAATAAACTCTAGCAGACATAATCATATTATGGGTTTTAAATTAGGTATTACAATGCTAATTCATAACAAAGACGATATCGAATTCGTCACTGAATTTCTATGTTTTTTGAGACACCCTGTACATGGTTGCCCCCTTTCTCTTCCATCTTGCAGAAATGGTACAGAGTACAGACACATACAACGAACAGAGTCAACAAATATTTTGCCGTTTTAAAAAAATACATAGAACCTGGACCAAATAGTACCTGAACTATTTTTTCTGCTTCCAAATCTTGGGTTTTTGGAGCATTTTCTCTCATTTCTTCTAATTCTGAAACAGAGACAACATTTTTTAACATATGTAGCAAATAGTTCGAAAATGTTCTAATTCACTTCTTAGTTTTTTAAAATCTCTTGATGGATGGATATCATATAGAGTTACCCATTTAGAATGAGACTGTAAAGACGACCTTAAACAACAAAATGTGATGGTTAAAATTTGCAGCAGCATCTCTGTTCCCCTCTGCTGGACCTGAGGCCATTAGAGGGAAATATTTTCCAACACAGGGGATCCACATTTTTAAATGAATGCTTATAACATGGTAATTAACACTCAGGGCACTAATAACTTCGCCAGAGGGATGGTAATTAACACTCAGGGCTTTAATTACTCCACCAGAGGTATGTTAATAAACACTCAGTACACTTATTACTCCACTGGAGGGATGATAATTGAAGCTTATGACACTAATAAATACATCTGAAAGATGGCAATTAACACTCAGGACACTAATAAATCCATTGGAGGGATTATTATTAACACTAAGGACACTTATTACTCCATCGGAGGGATGACCATTGACACTCAGAACACTGATTATTCTACAAAGAGATGGTCATTAACACTCAGGACACTAATTACTCCACTGGAGGGATGGTAATTAACATTCAAAACATTAATTACTCCATCAGAGGGATAGTAATTAACATTCAAAACATCAATTACTCCACTGGAGGGATGGTAATTAACATTCAAAACATTAATTACTCCACTGGAGGGATGGTAATTAACATTCAAAACATTAATTACTCCACTGGAGGGATGGTAATTAACATTCAAAACATTAATTACTCCACTGGAGGGATGGTAATTAACACATAGGACACTAACTATTTCATCGGAGGGATGGTAATCAACACTCAGGACAATAATTACTCAATCAGAGGGATGGTAAGTAATACTTAGGACACTAATTACTCCACCGGAGGGATGTTAATTAACACCCAGAACACTTATTACTACACTAGAGGGATGATAATTAACGCTCAGGACACTAATTACGCTATTCACCTTTTTTTGGACTCATTCTGTAATTGTCGGATAAAGTTCAAATGTAAATAATTGTCTTACCTTTTTCCTTGATTACTCTTGGCTTTAGGAGCTCCCTGAAACCGGTTCTAGTCGCGTTGTAAAGCTGAGGATGTTTCTAAACATTTTTATTAAACTCGGTCCAAATTTAGGAGCTCCCTGAAACCGGTTCTAGTCGCGTTGTAAAGCTGAGGATGTTTCTAAACATTTTTATTAAACCCGGTCCAAATTTCCTAATCCGAATAAAATGAAGTATTTTGTCACATTGGAAGTCATATATATCACCAATTTCAATACGTGAACAATTCCTTTAAATAAGTGAACACTGACTATAAATAAGTGAACACTGACTATAAATAAGTGAACACTGACTATAAATAAGTGAACACTGACTAACAATAAGTGAACACTGTCTATAAATAAGTGAACACTGACTATAAATTTAAGTGAACACTTCCCTTAAATAAGTGAACACTACCTTGAAATAGGTTAACAATTTCTGTAAATAGGTTAGCAATTTCTGTAAATAGGTTAAAAATTCCTTTAAATAAGTGAACACTCCCTTTAAATAAATGAACACTCCCTTTAAATAGTTTAACAATTCCTTTAAATAGGTTAACAATTCCTTTAGATAAATGAACAATTCCTTTAAATAAGTGAACACTCCCTTTAAATAAGTGAACACTCCCTTTAAATTACCTTTTCTGATTCTTTTAATCTATGAAAGGTTCTGTACGCAACCCCCATGGTTCCAGGGTTCAACAGATGCTAGAAAAAAAATATTAGAAATTTATTTTATTTTTCATTTCTTCTAAATGATTTGCATTTGCAAGGAAAAACAAACATTTGTAATCAAATCCATAAAAATAGCTTTCAGTTGTGATTGCAGTAAAACATGTAGATTGTAAATATTCCACCAACAATTCGATGTGGAAAAATCAAGGATGCATAATAAGGTTGCTTACTCTCGTAGCATTCCAATGTACGGAAAATGTCGTCTCCTTAGCATCTATATATAAAGTTGTAATGTCTGGTCGTCTGTCTTTCTGTTTGTTTTTCTGATCATAACTCAGAAACCCCTGAACCGATTAGACTCAAATTTTGATTGGGGAACTCGTCGAGACCCACGGGAATGTTCTTTGCTTTGAGATTCTAAGTTGACTGGGTCGACTTTAATAGCGAAAATTTAGTTTCCCGGTAAAATCGTTCAAGTGGGGAGTAACTTTTAGTAACCTTGGCACTTGGCAGCGCTGGGTTCCTAAGCTAATAAATATATAAAATCCGCATATGACGTCACTGATTATAGAGGCAAAAGTGACTTCATATGAGGTTTTTATCTATTTATCTTAGGAGACGACATTTTCCGTACATTCGAGCCCATTGAGAGTAACCCGACTTATTATGCGACATTGGCGCATCGAGAGTAACCAACCTTATTATACAACCTTGGTGCATCGAGAGTAACCATCCTTATTATACAACCTTGGGTTTTTGGCAGTGACTGACCAAAGGACGTGTACAACTGAGGTTGACCAAAGGATTTGTACAACTGTGGTTTACCAAAGGACGTGTACAATTGTGGTTGACCAAGGGATGTGTACAAATGTGGTTGACCAAAGGACGTGTACAACTGTGGTCGTTCTAACTAGGGATGGGCTTCTTTTGGTTAACGAAACGAGTTTTTGAAAATTAACGAAAGAGTTCATTAACCAACGGCAAACACCTAACCGAAATAGCTGTTCTTGAAAACAAATTAACAGTAACAAAATAGATGTGTTTCAAAATAACGGCAACTATCGTCCTTTTTTTTGCTAAAAATTGCATGAATTTTTTTTGATACGCTTATCCGGCCCTAGTTCTAACTAGGCACTGATTATGCATTGCACACTGCACAGTGCTACGTTAAAAATTTGTCTGTAACGGACTCACGGCCACCTTTATCACCTTGGATATTGCCGTATTTCTCATCTAAAAAGTGCATAATTCTGACAATATCTTCAATCGTTTCTGAAGCAGAAATCCGCAAGTTTCTGATAAAAGACAATTTGAAAGTAAGCAATATTTATATTAGATCCAACTTAAGGGGAACGTAAATGCAATTTAAAGTAACTCTTCTTGGATCTAATTCTGAATCAGTTTGTTTAAATGTATACCTTGTCCAAACCGGCCCCGTTCTCCAAAATATTTTCTTCAGGATCACGTTTCTGAAATATTTATATTTCATCAATTATTGATATTTATTTATTGATTTTTATTTTAAACATTAAACAGAAAGTGTAATTGATAAGAGTTCCACACAAATAGATACAGGATATCCCACGAAACATGACTGGGGAGGGGGGCGGGGGTAATAGTTTAAAACGTCTGCTTCCATAAGTTAAATGCCAATCATATTATAGGAAAATTAATTTCAAAGTAAAATATATTTGAGTAAAATATTTTTTAGCGAAATAAACCACAAAAGTCTTCAATATCTAATACAGAATATGGAACAAGACATTCAAAACTATTCACCAACTGTCATGTTTCGTGGGACAACCTGTATAATTCTGAGATGATACTGAAGTTAGTAAAATTATAGAGAAACGGATTTCTACCCTGAATCTCCATATCTTTGCAACCTGTATGATGTGACAGACCTTTGATATTTCAAACTAGGCTTAAAAGTTAAAGTTTTAAAAAAGGTATACACCATTAAATTGCACAACAATATAGGAATAAGAATAAAAAGTTAGAGGCTTGTAATCAAAGAAATGAGTCTTTGTCACAAACTCTGATTTGCTAATTCTTGTAGACCTTAGATATTTCAAACTAAGATTTTTGTTTTGTTTTTGGCTGTAAAGCTATCGATTAGCTAATTTGAAATTGTGGCAAAGACTCAATTCCTTTGCAAAGCTTAACATTTTTTAACATGCCACCTTTAACTTAAATACAACAGAATTTAACGGTTTTTTAGGAATTCATTGTTTCTTGGATATTAAAAACTCCGCAAAAAAAAAAAATTAAGAAATTATGAATTATCTTAAAGAAACACATTCTGTAAATTATACTGTAAAAGTCAATTGTCATATTATTTTATTCCAGTGATGCACAAAGCACATAGGAAATATAAAAATAATCAAAACCTGATTTATCAATGCTGAAAACTGCATTAAAACATAAATGCATTTTTAAAAATTACAGAAATGCATTGCGTCATTCCTCATTGTGAAGGGATGGAATAGTTTTGAAATCTAGAAATATTAGAGTTTTACGAAAAATTAAAAAGAATATGTAAATCAATGAGTAGATATCTAATTACATTATCACATGTTAATAAATAATGTATTTACATCACATAGATTCAGACAGCAATAAAGTTGCATCGAAATTTTCAGGCATGGATCGACTTAATTAACGCTTTAGCCTAATTGATTTTATCTCATGCTTATATATTTTCGGAATTCTTTAAATACTAATTTTGGTAACTATTCGATGCACAATTTACATGATATTATACAATATGTATCTATAAAAAAGTACGCAAGAAGAATTGAAATGTCGTCTTTTGAAAATAATTCTTTAACCTTTTTTTGTGCTGAGATTTCTGCTCCAAGAAAACATACTGTCGACAGAACAAGTAGAAATTCTCTCATTGTAATCCAGTAATCTAAACAAACTGTTGAATGTACAGGGTATCCTGTAATAGTGACGATTTCCATATAGTACTTTTAAATAATTCTTCGATTTAGTACAGTGATACCTACTGAGAAAGCTGTAATCTGTAAGATTTTAGTCATGGATATATAATAGATGGATATATCATAGTCAAGGTTTGATGTAATTTTGTCGCTGGGGTGTTATGCAGTACGTTAGACATTGGACCCTGGAACTTACAATTTGTCTTTGGTTTTCGTAAAGTTAATAGATTTCAAAGGAGTAAAGAAAACATTGTAAGTCTTTAAAACTTGATAAGATTTTGCCTCCTTCTTTGTATTATAAAAATTGTTGGAGATACTAAAGATTTAAACAACCTTGCTGATATTTAATATTTTGAATTTGAATCAAATTTCTCAATATCTTGGTCAATTCTTAAGGTACAAAAACGGCAGACCACATTTTGGAATTCTGAAAACAAGGCGCTTTTGATGCTACCAACTCTTTGAAGAAAATGCTATTATCACAAGATTTTAGCTACAATATATCATTTCTGCTTACTCCAGGGCCCACTATCTACCAAAGTTCTTCTCTAATTTGGACCCTGAACTTCACTTCAAACTTTTTTAAAAGTACAAATTATTTTTATAGAATGAACAAAAGCGAGAATAAAAATTTGTTATAGTAAAACCTAAAACTTGCTATGCAGAGGTTTTAGAAATTTCCTAAAAATATCTAGGGTCCACTGAGATATAACAGCTGCGTAGCCCACCGACAAAGTTTATGTTTTGACTGCGGTTGTACTTAGTAAAACACATCATTGCAGCTTTTTACCGTTTTGTTTTTATAAAATAAGCCCTATAGCAGACATAATTATATTATCATTTTTGCTTATGATATCACGTATTACAATGCTTATTCTTAAAAAAGAATTCTTCACTGAATTTCCATGTTTTTTGGGACCCCCTATATCTTGTATGTCGTCTCTGTTCTTCCTCATATTTTTAAAAATGTAACTCATGAGTGTGAACAATTTGCTGCAAATGATGTACAGTGATAAGCAGAAAACGATGGAATATAAAGACGAAATTATTGTTATTACAAAGAAAACAGTTTTACTAGAGACTTATTGAATCACTAAATTAGGGAACTGGTTTTTTTTACATTGCACAATTGATGTGTATCTTGCTCATAGATTCATTAACAATAACAGATAGAACACTAGATGCCAACTTTTCAATAATTAGGGGGTTTTCGTTCACAATAACCCTGAGGCATAAGGCCAAAGGAGTTTCGCGCAGGCAGCGTTGAATTATATGACAGAGAGAGAGCATCCACTGCCTCAGGGTTCTTTTGAAAGAAAAACCCCTAAATCTTAAAAAGACGACATCTAGTTCAAACAGCAGAGAGACATTAACAAAGAAAAGTTGTCAGAACTTGTAATTTAAAAAATGCTTGTTAGGAATCAAAGCAAATTATTTATAAAAAGTGTCTTCTTGGTATTGATTTAATAGCCAAATACTGTATTTAACCTCAAATCCCTGGGTTTCTTGATCAAAGCTCTTGGATTTTTACTCCAAACCATGCAAATTTAGTCCAAATTCCAGACTTCTAGTACAGATCTCAATTTCTACTCTAAATCCCGGATTTCTACTCCAAATCCCAGATTTCTATTCCAATCCCGGATTTCTACTCCAGATCTGGGATTTCTACTCCAGTTCTGGGATTTCTACTCCAAATCTGGGATTTCTACTTCAAATCAGAGAATTATACTCCAATTGGGAGGATTTCTACTCCAAATCCCAGATTTCTGCTGCAAATTCCGAATTTATCCTCAAAATCCCGGAGTTATCTATGCAAAACTATTTTAAATACAATTTGTTTGTCTGTTTGGGTTTTTGTTTGTTTGTTTGTAACCTGTAAACTGTAAACGGTTGAACAGATCGGACCCATTTTTTTGTGGAACCTAACATAATCCCATGGAAGGTTTATGGATGCTCAGAGTTTTGAAAATTTGTCTCTACAAATTTAGATTTTTGTAAAACTTTGAATATCCCCGAAAAATTATTTTTAAATCTTTAACACCTAGTACTCCAAATCCGGGATTTATACTCCAAATCCAGAATTACTACTCCAAATCCGGGATTTCTACTCCAAATCCGGAATTACTACTCTAAATCCGGATTTACTACTCCAAATCCGAAATTACTACCCCAAATCCGGAATTTCTACTCCAAATCCGGAATTTCTACTCCAAATCCGGAATTACTACTCCAAATCCGGATTTACTACTCCAAATCCGAAATTACTACCCCAAATCCGGAATCACTACTCCAAATCCGGAATCTCTACTCCAACTCCTGAATTTCTACTCCAAATCCGGGATTTCTACTCAAAATACGGATTTCTAATCAAAATCCGGGATTTCTACTAGCACCCGGCCCTAAGATCTGTATTACAAACAGTGTATTACGACCCTGAAGAAAGATTAACTAAAGTAACAAAATATTTAACAATCAATTATTATTTATATTTTAATAATTTATTAACATAATAAATTTTTTAAACAATCAAATTGTTAAATTTAATTGTAGAATATTTATTATGATCAAACTTGGTAATAAGGTGAATAATTAAGGGACAAAATATGTTTTATAAATTAAAGTACAGTTACTCCGAAAAAGGATGAAAATTCAGAAAAGACTTCAAAGAACTTTTTCTTAACGTCATGGACTTTATGTATTCCTAAATATCTTGTTTCTTTCTTCTTAAAACTTTTTACAATAGCTTTAGCATAACAGACTATTTTCAAGAACAAAAGTTTTAATTCAATCAAATATTTTACAACCTTTAACTTTTGATATTTACACTCTTGTGATGTTTAAGATCTTGTGGTCTTAAAGATCTTGTGATCTTAAAGATCTTGTGATCTTAAAGATCTTGTGATCTTAAAGATCTTGTGATCTTAAAGATCTTGTGGTCTTAAAGATCTTGTGATCTTATAGATCTCGCGATCTTAAAGATCTTGTGATCTTAAAGGTCTTGTGATGTTTAAGATCTTGTGATCTTAAAGATCATGTGGTCTTAAAGATCTTGTGATCTTAAAGATCTTGTGATCTTAAAGATATTGTGATGTTTAAGATCTTTTGATCTTAAAGATCTTGTGATCTTAAAGATCTTGTGGTCTTAAAGATCTCGTGATCTTAAAGATCTTGTTATCTTAAAGATCTTGTTATCGATCTTATGATCTTAAAGATCTTGTGATCGTAAAGATCTTGTGATCCATCCTATCCATTTTATCCATCTTATCCGTCTAATCCATCCAATCTATCCATTTCTATTTCGGATAATTAAACCATTGGTTTTGAAATTTATAGAAAGGAACGGAGTGGGATGGAGCGTGACAGATTTCTAATTATAATTAAGTTTTAAAGATATTTTGTTTGGGGTACTGTGGAGAACTTATTATAAACCTCTGGTTTAAACAATAATTAAGGAATGCACAAATACGGTGCACTGCCCACTGCCCGGGGGGGGGGGTAGGGGGGAGGTTAGAGTTCTGTAAAGGGTGGATGATTTGAAAAGGGAGGTAACCAATAAATAAACTAAAACTCTGTTCATACTATAATTTACTAATAAGCATGGTGTTTATAAACCTAGAAGCAAGGTTTTTATAAACCTAGAAACAAGGTGTTTACAACCCTAGAAGCAAGGTGTTTATAAACCTAGAAGCAAGGTGTTTATAAACCTAGAAGCAAGATGCTTATAGAATCTAGAAGCAAGGTGTTTATAAAGCCTAGAAGCAAGGTCTTTATGAAACCTATAAGGAAGGTGTTTATCAAACCTAGAAGCAAGGTTTCTATAAACCTAAAAGCAAGGTGTCTATGAAACATATAAACAAGGTGTTTATAAAACCTAGAAGCAAGGTGTTTATAATCCCAGAAGCAAGGTTTTTATGAAAACTATAAGCAAAGTAATTATAAAACCTAAAAGCAATGTGTTTATAAAACTTAGAAGCAAGGTGTTTATAAACCTATAGACAAAGGGTTTATAAACCTAGAAGCAAGGTGTTTGTAGAATCTAGAAGCAAGGTGTGAAAAAATCCTTGCAGCAAGGTGTTTATAAAACCTAAAAACAAGGTGTGAAGAAATCCTTGCAGCAAGGTGTTTATAAAACCTAAAAACAAGGTGTGAAGAAATCCTTGCAGCAGGGTGTTCATAAACCTAGAAGCAATGTGTTTATAATCCTAGAAGCTAGATGTTTATGAAACCTAGAAGCAAGGTGTTTCGAAATCTAGAGGTAAGGTGTTTATAAACCTAGAAACAAGGTGTTTATGAAGCCTAGAATCAAGGTGTTAAGAAACCTAGAAGAAAGGTGCTTATGAAATCTATCAGCATTGTTTTCATAAAACCTAGAGGCAAGGTGTTCAGAAACCTAGAAGCAAGGTGTTTATGAAACCTAGAATCAAAGTGTCCATGAAACTTAGAAGCAAAGTGTTTATGATACCAAGAAGCAAGGTGTTTATAAAACCTACAGGTTATGGTGTAAAACAGTTAAACTAATTAAGAAATTGATGAGTGGGTGTATGTTAGATAAACTGGTCAGATAGGTTAGCTGTTCTTGGGTAGGAAGAGGAGGGGGGGGGGAAGGTGAAGGGAAAATGGGGGAGTGTATATAAAGAGAAAGTTATTGAGTGGTTTTACTAGAATTTTTTTTTCTAAAACAAGTAATTGCAAGTGTTGAAATGAGTGAGTGGCTGAAAGTGATTTAATGAATACTTTCGTGATTTAATGGTTCCTAGTTAAATAATGGTTTACTGAGTGAGTGGCTTGCCTTTAAGTGATTGGTTAATTAAGTGATTTGCTATTAAAATGGCTGGTTAAATCACAGTGTCTAAATAAGAAAGTGTTTGAATTATTGAGTGGTTTATTTTTTTAAAGAGTAATTTTTAATTATTATATACATATACGTAATATATTAAATCAAAAAATTTAGTGTAATGGGTTTGTTTACACTGCACAATTGCCTTGTCTCATGCTCTTTGGATTTTTAAAAAGTTATAAATAGATTATAAAAGTCGTCTTCCTTTATCAGAGTTTTGTGGTTATCTCTGTAGGATTTAGATTTTGCACAGTTGTTTATCAAAGTAAACTGCAGTTACTGAATACAGGTTTAACATGATGGAACCTCATGTTTTAGAACATTAGTTTGTTGTTTAAATAGTTGGAAACCTTATAAAATGCATTATTATGGATATATAAACAAACCAAGATATCACATTAGTTTGTTGTTTAAATAGTTGGAAACCTTATAAAATGCATTATTATGGATGTATAAACAAACCAAGATATCACAAAGTGAACTAAACTGAAGGAGAAGGTAGAATGCATACGATATTACTGGTATGAATTTG